ATTTAAGAAATCCGTCTTTTATTAAGAAGATATTCTCTATCGAATAATACTAGTATTTACAAAATCAAAACTAAGACTTGGATTCTTGAAGTCTGTGAAATCTCTCTCTTTTTGCAATACATTTTTCTATAAATGTAGACGAATAATCGTTCTTTTTTAGAATATTAATGATTTTATTCATATTTTTTATGTGAAACTCTTCATATGAGAGTAAAATAGCTCTATCATATAAATAAGTTACAATATTTCGTTTTTAATACGTAACATACTGTCTTGATTCCCTTATAGTTTTCTTCAATGATAAATTTTGTAATAATGGAAAGAAGGGAAATAGTGAGAGATGGAAATTCATTTAATTTTAATTATATTCAGCAACGTTTCGTCGGTAAAAATATTTCGTTTTTGTTGTAGTGTGTGGTTTGAATTAAAATTAAGTATTCTACCTAGTGATGTTTCTTTTTTATACCAATCAATAATAATTCTATTGTTATTTCTGATAATCAATAAATCTAAAAAATTCAAGGTGTTGTTTAATTCACATTCATAAGTAAATTGAATGCAAGAATTGAATTATTGAAAAACAATTAAAACTTGATTATATTAATTATATTAATCTTGATTATATTCTCTGGCAATGCCCACTTTATGATAATGTCAGAACAATATTCATCCAAAATTTTAATGGCTCGAACATGTATCTTCCATCTATCTAATTTTGATGAGAATATCGCTAAAATTATTTGTAAATTTTTGAAAGACTGTAATCTAGTTATTTAATTTCACTATTTATATATGTATATATATATATGTATCTATAATATCTATAAAAAAAATATTCTTGTCTCTTCTAGCAAAATAACCCATCTAGGGTTTAATTTGCTTAAATAAATAAATAAAAAAAATTATTGGTGCAATATAAATTTTATAACAATATCCATATTTTTTGTAATGCGAAGAATATTTTCGTGGTATTTAAAATTTTAGACTGAGTTTAAAGATTACCTTAAAGCTTATGAAATTGGCGTAGAAAATTTATATTAATGGCATAATTTGAGAAAAATGTTAGAATAGTAAACCTCTCCACGTTTAATAATTAAATATAGGCTGTATTAAACTGTTCCACGATTTCTTTAGTAATTTTTGAATTTTCTGAAATGTAAAACAATTCTGCAGCACAAATTTTAAATTGGATGGAATAAAAAAGAATCTAGATTTCAAAAACTACAGTACATATAGATTAGCTTCATACATGGAAATATAGTTTAGAGAATAATATTAATAATATAATAATTATATACAGTATCTCATCACATTCATTAAATAGTTAGCACTAACCAATCTTATGCTTACTTTTGATCAGAACATGTTGTCAAATCTATCTATTAAATTATTTTTAATATCTAATATTAGTAAGCTTAAATGAAAAGTTTTTGAATTAAATGTTATATGAGAGTTACGAATGCCATATTACATGTGTCTGAATGCCAAATGCTATGTGTTTTCTCGAAATTCTTATTATTTTTAAGGGGTTGTAGTATTTTTTACAGGTTTTGTAATGATTTTATTTAAAGTAAAGTATCTATAAGAAAATACACTAAAACATTCTGTATAGCTGACAGTTTAGAAGATTTGATTGAAGAAACTTAAGAAAAATAGACCTTCTATCTGGTTTCGGCTATAAAATATTAAAGTTAAAATATTCTATTATACTTATTAATCAATTGTTTTTCTCCAAATTTATAGTGTAGAATACTGAAGATATTCTTGTAATATTGACTTCAAATGACTGATAGCAGTAGAATTAGATGGATGCGAGATACCGATGGTGAAGCTCTTAAAAAATGTTTTAAAATGATAACTGAAACTCTTTTTGGAATTATTCTTAAAAATAATTTACAAGCCTATACAAACAACAGTAACATTTCAAATAATCAGAAGACTTCTTCACTAGATCAAGCTATACCTCAATATATCTAAAGATACATTTTTTTATTATTTGGTCTGTTAATTCTAGAAACATAGTCTTGAAAATTGACTTGCAAAACATGTTTGAGCTGAAGCATCAACAGTTGATAAGCAAGCAAATATAAATGGGAATTCTGGTGGAATACATAAAATATTAGACAATATTGAAAAAAAGTATCATTACCAAATATAAAAGAAAATAGATATTAGAGAGCATCGATAAACTGTGCATTGTTAAAATAGCATATGTTACGAAAATTTTGAGGATACACATTTATTGAATTACAAAAAGAAATAGATAGGAGTAACATGAAGTAGTAATGATGAATATTCAAGGTGAAGACATTAAGAATCTGAATTATTTCTAACAAGACGAGTATGGATATATTCAATATTTCTCAGATTTATCAACAAGTGAACATGATGTGACTTTGGAAGGAAAACGACAACTTTAAGTAGTTTTATTTGAAAGGACAGAAAAAGATTAAAATGAAATCTTCAAGCTTATGATTGAAACATATACTACATTGAGAAAAACTATCAATAGCCTTATAAGAGATAGATAATCATTTGATTGAACCAGGGTCTTATTTGAAATTGGCCAAAATATTGAAATAACACGCATATAGACCACTTGGAAATAATATTTCAGAATTACAGAAAACATTTTTCGAAAGTAAATCGACATACATCCAACAAATCTTTCAAGTTTGAAAAAACATGAAGCCAGAAATAAATATCATGATTCATACTACCAAAACTGCATCAATCACCAGGAAAAATAATATTCCTGAGCAATAAGTCATTTTTCCATAGTCATTCAGATATTTTGTCGAAGAAAAAAAAATTTCCTAAAGTAATAAAAATTTCTAAACCCTTATTAAATTTAAATTTTCGAAAGTTTTTTGATACATTATATTAGAAATCGATAACAAAGTTAGAATATTAAAAATAGCGGATCAAATATTGATAATTTAATTTAATGTTAACGAAAAGAATGTTTTCGTATTTTATATAAAATTTGTGATAGAAAATTACTAGCCATTTTTTCATTGAGAGCATTAAAATCTTTCAAACTAATTGAATTTCAAAACAATTTGAAAAATTATTGTAAATGAAAAAAAAATGCAAACAAAATATAAATATAAAAAAAATTGGTAAGTGGAAAAAGTGATTAGAAAGGTAAAGAAAACATCAAATAATATGTTATTATTATTACAAAAAAAATCAAATACATGTTTGAACAATCAAACATTAACAATTTGATCTATAAAATTTCGTCTATTATCCAATTATAGTAGGAATCATACGAAAAAAACACGTATTTTTCCACATTTTCGTAGTTGTCCGCCATATTGGGAAAGATAAAACCGATACAGCTAGACTACAACATTTTTTTCATAATAACTACAATTATTTGCCCGTATTTTTGTCCATAGTTTGAAATAGATCAATATATTTTATTCATTTGAAAAAAAAAATAATAATATCTTTTAAATTTTTTGGTACTTTTTTAAATTAAATCCGCCTTATTGGATTTCCAATATATATATAAAAACATGCTAAATGGGTTAACAGCAGGTTAAATTAATAAGAAGAAAATAAATAGCTAAATGTTGTTTTACGTTTATGCGAGGAGAACTCTTATTTAAATTCATATTGTGCTGTTGTATGAGTGACAAATAAGTTATGATCGAGTAGTACATGAAAATTTTCATAAACATATTCATCATATGAATTGGATTCCATTAATTGCTTCAACTATTTTATGGCAATGAATTTCATACGAGCAAACCTAAAGTAAATCTAATTAATTAATAAACTTAAAATTACTGCACTTAATTGAAAAAGAAATCTTTTCAAAACTACTTTTTTCAGGAAGCGTAATGAAATCTAAGAGAGGTAAGAAAATCCCGCACAAAGACGAGAAAGCCATTTCATGTCTTTAATGAGATTCTGTAAAAATAAAATTGTATTTTCAAAGGACTCTTGATAGTCTTGATTAATAACATCGCTCTAATTAAATTGGCTCATTGTTATTAAATCTTAAGATAAACCGAAATTAACATGTTTTTTATTTCTCGAATATACTTTTAACGGAATGTTCCCATTAATTAACAAAAAAAAGTATTTCTGGTGATGCACTGTCCCTTTTTATCATGGAAAAAGAAACAAAGTTTTAGTAAAACCCTACCTTAAAAAACAATAGTTATTTAAAAAATTCTAGATATTTGGTTGATATATTTATCGTGTTCTTTTCAAAATGTAATAAGAGTTCTTAAATTATTTTAATAACGCATCATATTCTGCAAGCAATTTGACGAAATAAGGGAACACGTCGGAGCAATATACTCGACAGTACAACAGCAGACATATAAGCGAATCAGCAAAAGTTGGCTGTTGCACGTCCAGGAACGCGCGTGAAAAGCAAACTCTCTCGAAGAAGAATGACCCAGCCAATTACCTACTTCTCTCTTATTTTCTCATTTTTATGAGGCATCCGTCCTTTCCCCGCTAGTCTTCGTCGGCCGAGACAAAAGAAAGAAAAAGACAGCTTGCTGCGGCTCTCTCGTTGCTACCCAAGTAAAGTACTTATAAGTGGACCACTCTATACTTTTTCTCCCGCAACGACAGTCAACCCCTTTGGCCTAAGGCAAAATCTGTCTGCTAATGTCTCAACGACACCTGCACACATGCTTATGCGAATGACTAGATGGCAAAGCACAGGAACCTAACGACGCACGCGCGACTGTCAATACCAGCGCGATTGTTCATCTCTTAGTGCCAATGCATTTCCGAGGCTTTTGATCTTTCCTGAAAAGTACTCGATCTTTTATGGCTGGATTGTTACTCACCTCTGCTTTATTGTTGTTAATTTCCGCTGCGAAAGCTGATTCTTTGTTCTGCGCGCTTTCATTGTGAGACTCGAGGTCAATTAATAATTTAGAAAGTTTTATTTACTTCTTTTTAGTTGTAAGAACAATGAATCACCCGAAAGACAATACTTTCAATTGAAACCGTTGTTCAAAGTTTTATTCGACCTTATTTACATAACTTTTCAACCAATTTAACAAACTTAAATGATATATATTTTATCATATTTTTTATTTTACAATTTGATAACCGAACTAAATAAAAATATATATACAAACTTAATTGATTATTAGTTAAAATATTTACATGTATGGTTTACATTGTATAATATAAATGTCTTTACATATATTAAAAATCAATTAGAAAAAATTACTTTCTCTTCAATATGATTCAGTCAGTTCAATAATAGTTTGCCGTTATTCATTTTATGATTAATGATTCGAATTTACGTACTCTAGCAACAATATGAATTCACTGTTATTAGTAAGCAGTATTAAATTAAAATGAAAATAGAACAATTTAATAATCTGCAGCATTGCTTGCCAAATAATCGCGGCGACCAATATTTGATGCTTGTTTGTTTTGAATAGCTTCCAATTTTGGACATTCTGTGATTCTGTGACCGAGACCACCGCAATAGCTACAACCTTGCTCGTCTGTAAAAATAAATATATAATTTAAATGAGTGAAAACCATAAATAATTAAAATTAAATATTATCTTCAAATTATTCTTACCTCCAACATTAAGGTACTTTTCGTTCTCGGAGCATAATTCTTGCAAGAATGGAGGGATCTTTTGTTTGGCTTCTCTTAGTAAATGTTTCAAGTCGAGAAGAACAGATTCGTCATTGGCTTTATTAATGAATGTCGTCGCTATACCTGTGTGACTAGAACGACCAGTTCTACCGATTCTGTGAACTATAAAGACATCCAAGTATATAATATAGAGAAAAAATCAAATATAATGGGTACATTTTGTTAAATTACCATAATTTTCCACATCATCAGGCATATCATAATTTATAACGTGCTGAATATTAGCAAAATCAAGACCTTTCGATGCTACATCTGTAGCAACTAAAACATCTTTTTTACCAGCCCGAAAGGCTTCTACCGATCTCGATCTTTCTTCCTGATCTGAAATGAGTGTATAAATTGAATATTGAATAATATTCAAATAAATTGAATATTTGATTTCAATTTGAAAATTTTATTTAAAAAGCAACAGAAAGTGTATTATAACTTCTTGTACCTTTGCCACCATGAATAGCAACTGCTTCAACACCTTTTAGTAAAAGATATTCATGAATAGCATCAACATCTTGTTTTTTTTCAGCAAAAATTAAAACAGGAGGAGGCGTCTTTTTCAGACATTCCAGAAGATAGACAATTTTTGCTTCTTGTTTGACATATTCCACTTCTTGAATAACGTTCATAGAAGCAGCTCCAGCTCTACCCACATTTATTGTTACAGGCTTTACCAAAGCTGAGCGAGCGAAATTTTGAATTTTCTTTGGCATAGTAGCTGAGTATAGGAGCGATTGACGTTGACCCTAAGTAATTATATTAACTTCTTTAGGTTATTGCTATATTTATAAAATAAAATAGTAATCTAAAAGAAAATTTTTGCATACTTTGAAATATGAAAATATTGTTCTAACATCTTCTTCAAAACCCATGTCGATCATTCTATCTGCTTCATCCATACAAAGATACCTGCATACATTCAATTTAACCATCTTCTTATCTAACATGTCCATTAGTCGACCTGGTGTAGCAACCATTATATGTACCCCTCTGAAATTGTAGAAATATTCAAGTAATTAAAACTATTATAAATTGTTCATATTACTAAATTAATTCCAAATGTCAAAACAAAAAATAATTTTATTTTGTATAAAATCAATTGATTAACTTACCTGCCAATTATAGCCATTGATTCAGATACGGGAACTCCACCTATAGCAAGACAGCATCTAATTTCTGGGCAATTATGGTGTCTCAAACTATTAGTATAGTGTTGAATGATGTCATATGTTTGTTTTGCTAATTCTCTAGATGGACATATGATCAGTCCTATAACAAAGCAATTATACCTTTTTATAAATCAATACTTTATAAAATACAGTAATAATCGTCTATAGTTTAAATACCAAAAATTACCATAGGGTCCTTCATGTTTGCCAAAAGGCAGAGCAACTTCCTGTTCCAGACAGAACATAATAAGAGGTAAAACAAAAACTAACGTTTTTCCACTACCTGTGAAGGCAATTCCAATAATATCTCTTCCTGACAAGCTTTAAATAATAACAAAATAATTATATTATTTACTAAAATTAATATAACATTTTTTGCAATTGTTTTTATTGTACGTAAGTTTATTATAATACATACACAGCAGGTATTCCTTGCATTTGTATAGGAGTTGGTTTTGTAATGCCTTTCTGTTCTAATCCGCTTAAGATTCCTTTATGAAATTTCATTTCTTTGAAACTCCTCAATGGTGGTGGCACATCATCCCCTTCAACTGTTATACCATATTTTCTTCTTATTCTTTCATGTCTTACTTCACTCAAATTTAATATTATTCTTGGTGGTTTCCAACAAGTTTTTATAGGATCAGTATATTCTATTCCTTTTGCCAATTCTGCTACTCCCATAAGAGCTTTAGTTTCAGCAACAGTTTCTAAAATTTTTTCCTCTTCCTTCAACTGTTTTTCCATAGCACTTTCTTTTTTAGCTATTGAAAGAGAACAATAAGTATACGATTAGCATATTTTTATATCAATTAAAAAAAATTAATGTTAATATTTGATTTAGTACCTTCTGCTAATTTTTTCAATTCTGTATGCTGATCCAAAAGTGAAATATTTGATTTTCGCCCCCATACTTGACCATTATCATCATCTCTATCATCTTGCTCATTTTCACTACTACTCTTTCCAGCTCCATTCATGCCATCTTCTTTTAATTGACTAAGTCGACCTAATTTAGCAAGTTGCTGTTTCTTTCTTTCTTTTACAGGGACATAAGGGACATAATCATCATCAGAATCAAATTCATTCTTTTCTTCTTCTCTTCTGTATCTCTGTTTTAAATGAAGTATGAAATGAAGGTTATAATTAACACAATATATATTCTTAATAATAACTTGATAATAACATAATAATTTCATCTTGTTAACTAATGAATTATGAATACAAACCTTTAGTGGTACTGGATGTTTCAGATCCGACATCGTACAACTTAAATTATTCAACGAACAAAAAGGATACTAATTTTTAACTGTTTATCGGAGAACAGGTTTACATTTATCATTAAATTAAGAGTTTTTCATATCAGACATAGAAAGAATTTACTTCATACTTATCCACGAATTTATTTGATCATTTACAAATAAATTAAGCAACGCTTAAATGAACATAACCTAAATATGATTATGTGTGATGACTGTGATGAGTGATTGAGTTTTCAATGTTCAATTCCAATGTTGGCAACGGCTTACATGGAGTCTCGCAAGTCGCAATCGCATTTATTTAGCATCTTAGTTCTGTCCTGCGGACATGCAGATGGCGTTGGATCGAAGTGCCGCGTCCAAATAACCTCATTCGGCCTCTATCCACCGACGCAAACGGTATACAAATATTGATCAAACTCTAAAATCCTCTTCGAGAACTCAAATGCTGTTAATGTTGTTTAAGTTAAAAAATGTGAATAGTTATTTCAACAAAATTACTTGAACAGAAGTATATGTAAGGTAGTGCTAGTTTGCGTCGATATAAATCATTAATGTATAATTTGAGACTTTTTTGAATTACAATACAAGACAATTTGTTACTTAAACCGTCATAATGTTTAAGAATACGTTTCAAAGTGGTTTTCTATCAATTCTATATAGTATTGGTAGTAAACCTTTACAAATTTGGGACAAAAAAGTTAGAAATGGACACATAAAAAGAATCACTGACAACGATATACAAAGTTTAGTTTTGGAAATACTTGGTAGTAATGTTAGTACAACATATATCACATGCCCAGCTGACCCAAGAAAAACGTTAGGTATCAAGTTGCCTTTTCTTGTAATGATTATCAAAAATTTGAAGAAATACTTCACATTTGAAGTCCAAGTGAGTATTGTACCATACTTTCAGTATGATTAAATTATCGTAAAATCTACAAATTGACAACTTTCCAGATTATAGATGACAAGAATGTGCGAAGACGTTTTCGAGCAAGTAATTATCAATCAACAACAAGAGTAAAACCATTCATCTGTACAATGCCAATGAGATTAGATGATGGTTGGAATCAAATACAGTTTAACTTGGCAGATTTTACTCGAAGGGCATATGGCACAAACTATGTGGAGACTTTGAGGGTACAGATTCATGCCAATTGTAGGATTCGAAGAATTTACTTCTCTGATCGTTTATATTCTGAAGATGAATTACCAGCCGAATTCAAATTATTTTTGCCTATTCAGAATAAGGCTAAGTGTTGATTTTGTACAGATGACCTAGAATTTATTTTAATTGACTCACTTTACAGACAATTTTAATTTTAAGAAATCATAAAAATAGGAAACTGAATTATAAACTATTCTTGTTTGAGATGAGTAATACTAACTGAAATTATGAATCAAAGTATTTGTATAGATAGTTTGATGTTGCTATATCAACTATTATAAACTATCAACAAAATAATTGTTAAATGTGATTTTGCACCAAAATAATATGTCAAGGACAATATTGCAAATTAAAGTACAGTTATGTACCTACATTAAAATGGATATATAAAAAATATGGCCTATTACTTAAATCAATTATATTTCTAACCAGAACTTTTATTTTTCTAAAAATGTGCCTTTATCTACAGCATATGGATTTGAAATAACTTGCTTGTATAAAATGAGTGCTTTTACTTGCACAGTAAAAAAAACAGGAATTTGTCAAGGCTAATTATTAAATGCTAAAAATAAAAACCGTACATTATACGTAACTGATATTTATGTTGCATTCATCCATATCTCATTCCATTAATTATAGTTTAATGTTATTTTTATAATTAAGATATTAATTTGAGATATCTTCTATTGTGGTGTTAATTTTAAAGTTAACTTTATATTATTAAAATAACTATGTTTGCAACTTTTTAACGACTGTTCTTAGTTTTCCGATATATTAGTATTGAATACTTTGACTCGTGGAATGTTATAAGATTTTAATATTAGACGAAGCATATTAACGTTATTATAGACTCAAATTGCCGAAAAAACCGATTTCACATTTTGTTTTTTTGTTAATTTTCATTGTCAAATGAAGCTCGATTATAAATCCATTTAAATTTAATCTTGGCAAAAAATTCAAATGTATAGTTTTTGAATTAAAGTTCAATCCAATGTTTATTGGTTACTGATCAGTGCCATTGCTTTACGTCGGTTCCACTGTTGAATGAGTACGCGACGAATATAAGTAATAAAAATGTCGATCGTGATTTTAGAAGCAAAGAGCTTGAATTCGCGCGCAGAAAACAAATGGTGCAAATCATATGAACCAATTTGCCGATGAATGCAGGCGGAATGGAAGTTGAAATGGTCATCGAGCACAAAAGCAAGTAAACGCTGTCGGCGCACAGAAGACGATAGTGCGCCGTGCAGAGCGGCAAAAAGGAGCGATCGCTGCCTAGAGGCGCGCCAACATCAATTGCTAATTATCAAGTATTGATTTTGAAAAAACAGAGCGGGCGAGAGAGGGAGAAAAAGCGAGAGCTGGTCCGCGTGCGCAAAGTAGCAGCAATTAACGTTGACGTGCAGACGCTCAGGTGGCGCGTGACGGAGGGGGATGAAATGCGAGCGTGGCGGAAAGCCCACGCATGCGCCCGGTCGGGAGCGCCAATTTCCAGAGCGGGACGCTGCGAAAAGCGACAGCTAGCCGCCGTCGTCGCTAAAAACCGCAAGCACGGGGTCTCGATCGAGGAGCGCGAGCCCGCGAGAATGGTACGCCGGAAGCCGGTGCGGAAGTTCGGGTGGCGGTGAGCGAGCGGCTGCTCGGTTGCCTGCAGCGCGCGGCTGCAGATCGGCGCGAGACGCAGCGCCGTCGGAGCGCCGTCGCCTGGCGACTAATGCGCATAAGCGAAAGCGAAAAATTGGAAGAGAGGAGAGAGAGGCCTGGCGCTCGCACTCGCCCGCCGACTCTTTCTCTCCCTCGCGGGGGGCGCAGAGTGCGAGAAAGAAGCCCGCTAAAATGGCGGACCAATTAACGGAGGCTTGATGCATTTTGTACATATTTCTGGGCCATGTCGCAGCTCGGCCCGGGCGCGCGCCTCCGCAGCCACCTCAGTGCGGACCAGCCGGCATCTCGCCGTCAGAGCAGCCTGTCGATACTCACGTGGCTCGTAACCCAGAATCGCGGCCTGCCGCAGCAGTAAAAATAAAACGGCGCGCGATCCATAATCGCGGAAAGCCCTCTCGCCGTGGCAGTGCTCGTGAGCGCGCGCTTCGTCCAGTTTTTCGCGGCTCGCTGTTGCTGCTGCGAGCCGCGAATGCGAGTGGGCCGTCGCCGCAACGCGCTCTCGCTACGTCTACCACAGCGATGCACGGAAACGTACGCGGGAGTGAGAGGCGACGACGGGGGGATGTAACGTAATTGCTCGCAGTGGGGTCGCGAGCGCGCGGTTTAGTGTAAGAGGTGCAACGGCACTGATATATCGGCGATGCTGTCGTCTCGCTAGGCCACCAATATCCTCTATTTGCTTTCGTTTTCCCGATCGACGACGCTCCATTGTTTTGCTTCGCGTCGGATCATGGCCTCGCAGGAGCGACAAGTCGGAGACGAGCACAGCGAAACAGAGCCAGTCGACGACGAGCTTGCGGAGCACGAGTGCTGCAGAATCTGCGCGGCGACGGTGCCGCCTGCGGAGGCTGCGGCTGCCGCGAGGATCTTCGGCCAAGAGGGTAGACGACGCAACTTGCAGCGCAACATTCGGAAGTACCTGTACATAACGGCACGTATTGCACTTAATTTTTCGTCATCGGCTATCACGCATACAGTCGCCACGGATGTCCGCCCGCTTCGTACGTGCCTTCTAATTCGGCGCTGCGGCAATCAGTCTTAGGCAACTCATCAAACGTCCATTCGCGAGAGCTTTCGGCTCGAGCCACGTGCTTTCGAAAACGCACAGCACGTTTCGGCACACGCGCGCGTATGGATCCCAAAGATCGAGATCGTAACGGGCACACGTACGCGCGTGTGTGTGTCTGCGTGTGGCGCGCGCTGCTTTTCGAAATCATCTCTTCAGTGCCCCTCACGGCCTCGGGCGAACAAAAGTGACGCTAGCTCTCGGTCTCTCGTGCCGAGCACCGTTGAAAAAAGCGTTCATTATCTTCTCGCTGCCTTGGCCTTGGCTCACATAAAAAAAGGCTCTTCAAAGCCACATCGACAAAAGTCGAGTAAACGGATCCATGCGAGTCGCAGCTGCGGATAATTGAAGGGAGGCTGCGGCAAAAATCGGAGCGCGTTGTCTCGCTGTAAAAGTGTAAAAAAATTAGCATTTTATTGATTGCCAGCTGGCTGAGCGAGGGGTGGTGGTGGCGGCGGCGACGGTGGGGCGCTCGCGGGTATTACCGCTCACTGTATATCTGCTACTGGCGCGCACGCTCATCTCTCTCTCTCTCTCTCTTTCTCTCTTTCTCTACGTGGCTCCTACATCCTCTTTTCTCGCCTCTTCATAGGCACTCTTTCTCTCCTAATAGATGTATGCTGCTCCGCTTGTGTGTGCAGGCTACGTGACAGAATGCCAGAGGTCATCCGACTTTTCTTAAAAGTACCTTGCTGAATGTTGTTTTTTATTATTACAAATCGTTCACCTCTGCCTCATATTCATCTAATACATGGTCGATACTCATTCTATTTCAAACTCTGTTATTTTATATAGCGCTTCCTTCGTCAATGTTTCAGCTCAAAGTTTTGACATTATTCGAAGCAAAAGTTGAAGAAAATGAAAAAAAATCTTAACAAATTCCAATGTAAAGCGGAGCTTTAACTTGATTGCTTATGCAAAATTATTAGAAGTATGAAGAAATTATATTTCCTTTTTAAAGCAGGATCCAGCGTGAAAAATTGTTTTTCACAGCACTATATTTTTGTGTCATTCCTTGTAGAAGAAGAGAAAGTATTTATTGATTCATCTATAAAGATACAAAAAATGTATTAAAAAATGAAAAGATTTAAAAAAATAAACAAGTAGTAATGTTATTCTGATTGGTAAAACACATACACGTACTCATCGCTGCGGACGAACATTGTAAAAGCATAACTTTATCGTCTCCTCGTCATCTGACGATGCAATATTCCGCGTCTCGAAGAAAGCAATATTAAAACATATTTGTCGAGTAAAAGTATAATATTGAATAATTTTATGCAATCATCATATTATTTTGTCAATTCTTATAAATTACAAATAACATTTTATTGCAAAGTAATTTCTAAAGCGAAATCACAAAGAAAAACCCAAAATAGTCCGGAAATATTTCGTAAGAAATTGTTTTAACGATAAATTTCGTTTGAGAAACAGGTGTCTTCCGAAGACAAACTTCCGAAGATGGTTTGTGCATCGTGTGTCGGAAAGTTGGACGGCATCCACGCTTTTGCAACGATGGCCCTACGGAGTCAGGAGAAGCTGAAGCAGGAACTTCTTAAAACACCTCCAGATCTTCCTGTAACCGTCGACAGTTTGGACAGTTCCGATAGTTTGCCAAATAAACTTGGAGAACGTGGCCTTCTGCATTCAATTTTAACGAAAGTAAGCTTCGAGATTTGACTTTTCTACTATTTTCACCTGACCAACGCAAATTTACAATTGTTCATTGAAATACTTTCGATAACTTCGTAAATATTTAAACTTAAATACAGAACAATAAAAAAGATCCTTTCTACATAAAAACCTATGTTTCGCTTAGGGTTCTTCTGAAGCAGCAAATGATGGAGAATCATTACCAGGTCGTCAAAGAACACCAAGTACAGAAGAGATGGAAGTTAAAATTGATCCAATGCTATTTTTACAATGTGCTTTAGACCATCCGTCGTCGGGAGAATATTCTGACTTTTCGGATGATTCGGATCGAGACGTCAGCTCCCAGTGCAGTCCAATTTCAGAACCTCCACCGCTTACCAAAAAGTAAACATTAAATATTTTTAAATTCCCGAAATTCAAAAAGTGAATGTTCTCTCTTAATTTGCAGAGAAAAGCATAAGAACAGCAAAGAATACGTTTCAGAGAGTCTCGATGAAAAAATACGCGATAACAATGAGAACGAAGATTTAAACGACAGCGGAGACGATAAAAATGTCGAGGGTGATGAATTCGAAGAGGTGGAGGATTTTTCAGATTCCGAATCCAAACCTCACGTTTGTAAAATATGCACAAGGGCGTTCGTATCGCAAATAGCTTTGCAAAATCATCTTTGGTCCCATTTGCCAACGTCTACGGACGACTCACAAGACATTTCTCCCAGACAACGAACAGGAGCCAACGGTGTGACGTCACAAAGCTACGGTTGCGATAATTTATTGACGAACCACTTCATCTGTCCCATTTGTGGCAAGAAAATATCAACGAAAGGTAACCTTAAAGTTCACCTTGAAACGCACAGGCCTAAGGGCAAATACGGCTGCGACATTTGCGGAAGAATGTGAGTATACTGGATGCGTGTGATTTGCAATCTAAGGCTGCAAAACATTATTTGCCCGTAATGCTCGTAGATTTAAAACGCAATCAAACCTCTTTCGGCACAAGGAGTATCACAGCGGTGTGCAGTTTCCGTGTTCAGTGTGCGGCCGAGTATATCCGACCAATTCGACGTTACGTGCCCACAGTATCACTCACTCAGACTTGAGACCTCACGCTTGTCCTCTTTGCGACAAAACTTTCAAGCGCAATCAGGACCTCAAATTTCACATCAATCAGCATACCGGTGCACGACCTTATCAATGCCCATACTGCCCTAAAGCTTTTGCCAGCTCGGGCAACTGTTTTTCTCATCGAAAAAGGATGCACCCCAAAGAAGTCAATCGCGATAGACAGCGTGCTGCTGACCTTATGAGATGAGCCAAGCTTCTTAACACAGGTCATACATTTATTTGAATTCTATTTTTTTTCTTCATTTTTCTTACTTTTAAAAATCATAGATTTCATATTTTTAAGATAATTGTATTTAAAGTATGCAAGTTAATAATGGACTCGTTTAATTAATCATCAAGCACAATTGGCATCCATAATTATTAGTGCAGAACATACGGATATACATTTTTTTATTTAAATACACCCTCATTCAATTTATAGTATTTTATACTATTTGACTTTACGTTCAGAAATACTAAACTTATGCTTATCACGAACTTTTAACATTATGCATTAATTTATTTTTGCCTTTCTTAACGAATCATTAATTCAGCATGGATTTTGCCAAGTTTTCAAATTGAGTGCACACTCTTAATTTTTCGATTTCTTTAATTTGTAATACTAATACTACTAATACTACTAATACTGATACTAAAAAAAGTTCAAAGTTTCTGCAAAATTAACACATTTACGCGCGACATTGATGCTTTCAAAACTATTTGAATTTGAATTTTGAATTTTTTCGTTTTTTATCAACTTCCAACAAACCTGTAAAAATGAAATTGTCGTTTTTGTTGATGTTAGTACTTATTTTACAAAACAAAAAATAAGCATATGCACTGAAGATCCAATAATTTATTTTGCATTGTCAATACTACATAGAATAATGACATAGAAAAATTAAGAGCTTGCACTCGTGTAATTTGGTATGATATTTGAATATTAAAATAAATGGAGCTGAATGAATACATTTTTCTATACAATTGGCCATGTATTCGGTGTAAGAAATAGAAATATCTGTCGATCAATTACATCATTTTTTTACGTACAAAGTTTACGTAATTATTTAACAATAAGAGATTGATTATCGCGCAAATTCCTGATAGACGAAGATAATTGCGGCAATAAATGACAATTTAATGAACATAATAAGATAAACGCTGTTTATAAAGTAAAAATTGTAATCGCAATATAATGGCCTATCAAATGCTTCTTGAAAATACTGAAATTTGTCCACGTGACTGAAATGTATTTTCTTTTGCAGACTGAGATGCACAATTGGCTAGACAAAGAAAAGACTGCCGTACATTGACAACGAGCATCTAAAAGAGAATAATATCATTATTATAGAAGTATTTTCGCGTTAGTAATATAGCCCTGTGATAATCATAATTCTTACAAATTTTCGACTAATCGCTTTCATTTTCATTCAAGATTATTATTATTACTGTTATTATTATTATTATTAGTATTATTATTATTATTGTTATTATTACTGTTATTTGGTGGTCATCAGAATGTGAAGTTTTTTTAATTTTAGACGTTTTAACGTATGTTAAAAAATGAAAATTTCAACAATTGGTTGATACGACGCGTTGAATGAGAATGATTTTAGAATTTCCAAGTATTCTTGACCAAATAATACGCAGCACTCATGTATGTTAATACCTAATGTAAACTCATAAAATAAAACTTTTGAGGTGGCTATTTGAATGCATAAGGAGGCATTTTGTAAGACTGTACAATACTAAACGTAAAAAAATTTCGCGTTTTAAATATGTATCCGAATCTTTCTCCAGAAAACGCGTGGGTAGAATGACAAATAAATGTAGATCATCGATTAGCGATGTAATAAAAACACTGTACAATTTTAGATTGAAACGACGACATATAAGATATGCATAAATTAATGTTCTTATCTTGTTAGGAAAAATGCGAATCATTGGAGTCAATATTTGTAGTTTATATTGAGTATTACTCAATGAAAAGGCCAAAAAACGACAGTGATTTTTATGCAAAAATGATCACAATATCACCTTCATTTTTCAAAAGTGATAATTATTGACAAAGTCTATGTCACAAGGTCGAAATGTACGAAATTCGTGCTTCCTCTGATATATTATGCAAGAAGAAGTGAAGTCTTTTAAGCACAAAAATATATACATAATGTAGATTAAACAATTAAAAAAACATGTATAAAGAAATAGAAATGATCTTGTATTTTGTAAATGCATTTTTTGAAAAAACTAGTTTGACAGTGATGATAGAGTCAAAATAAACAAGTAGGTTGTACTGTATACGATGTATTATTTAACTGAATGATGACTGAGTCACTAGATGGTATTTTTTCAAACTGGCCTATCAATTGTAATATTGCATATCAAATGGCAAAAAATTTATCGCGTATTAAATTGTTGCAACAGTATTGCGTATGATGGATGTTACTTTCGTTGCACTTAAGTACATTAGGCCGCTCATATTTCATGTAGTTGTGAACATGTCAAATACGATTCAGTCGAGGCTTCGAAAAATATTACAATTGAGCTTTATATACACATTGACCGTCATTTTACCATCTTTTGTGCTACGTGAATTTTGAAAAGACAATTTAAATTTTAGTGCACCGAGTCACGAGAATAATAAATAAATTTAGCAATATAATTAGGCTAAGAAATGATAGTCAACATCTGTCTTTGGAAAAGCAAATAGCATTGTATGATGCTTGTACATTTTTATGTTAACGATCTTTATACATCAGTGTAATTTGCATGGTATTGAATTTGTTCTTCTAAATACGAGCGTAACATTTTCCTCGTTGCTGTTATTGTTACTTTTGTAGAATTACGTCATGCCGTGAATGATGTGAACATTATACAACGTTTAATACGTTTAGTAAAAAATAATCAGTAAATTATGAAGAAATTGTGTGCATCAATGCTTTGATAAGTTATTCCCGTATTGAAAAAACAAGATGAAATCTACACCAAGTACAATAATTGAGAATTGAATAAATTAGATACACGTATCGTACTGTTCAAGATAGAAGTCTTTATCATTTTAATGATAATAAGTGTTACTCATAATGCCCTTTTGTAAATTATCATTATTTTTTATTATTATTTCCACTTTTGCTATGATTAGTTAAATTTTGCAAATACTCAAATGACGTTTTTGGTTCTGCAAATCTTCAAAAATATTATTTTATTCATTATGTAAAATAACTCAGTAAATGGACTATTTATATTGTTATACAGTTAAATGATTGTTTGACAGAAAAAGAAGAATGGACATTGAAATAAATAAAAGAAAAATATAATTTCTATTAATTACGCGAAGTTTCGTTTTGCAGCAGGTATACGTTAAAAGCTAAAATACTATTTCAGAGTGAGCGTAGTACCTTTTTTTTTGGATTATGGATGCTTCTAAGCAAAATAATCAAAAGAGCTATGTATTAATTGAGGGAAGAATCAACCGTCGAACGTGTGTATATATATCTGTATAAGGTATTGCTTGCGACATTAGTAAGTATTCAATCAATATTTAATTTTACGTAAATGACAAATGTTTTTTATCACTCGTCGAATGGCTGTTAATTTGAACAGATTTGTTTCAGTAATTTTCAATAATTAATTAATGGAGTATATTTTTACTTTAAATATGAAATACATGTGACTTATCTTTGGGCCTTCTAAAACTCTTAAATGAATTTGTTAGCTGCACTTAATTAGGTGTCAGGCTGGTTTCTAAACGGAACATAACTGTAAGAATTCGTGTTTTGTACGGATGTATACGTCTTGTTTATTTATTTTGCGCCGATTTTAATTGTCGTATTTTTGGTTTAAATGTGAAGCTTGAGGTAATTTAAATAATAAGCTTGAGGTTAATCGATAAATAAAAACGAGGTGAGTAATTTTCTCCTTAATGAGGCTAATCAAATAACAATCCGCCTGTTCGTCAACAACGGTACTCGGCGAATCAATTTAGATGATGCGTCAAAAGTTACGGGTTCAAATGTTAACAAGATGTCTACGTTAGATATTCGGACACTTGCAAAATTACGTGGCAGATTGATTGCATGGCAAACGGGGTATAAAACGAACGATGGCCAGAGCAAACAATAGTACAAAAGCATTGCCGAACAAAGTGGGGAAATGGAGGATTGGCGCAGTATTGCACGTGCATAGGCAGGCCATTAAGCGCGCTTAATTACCGCGAACGTGGCCTGTCGCAAGTATCATATGGGAGTGTCCGACGAGGATAAAGTCGCGCGCGCGCGACCTCTGAAATTGCTATCCAAAGTTCGGGCGCGACGCAGGCGTGCGAGAGGCAGCTGCAACAGCAACAAAACAACACATCAGCGCTGCATTGCTCGCACGTGCGCGGCCGTTAACGAGCGCGCTCTCGCGCTATGCACTACGTATCGCTCTTCCTCTTCCTCCGCCTCCTCCCCGCTGCATCCGTCTGACTCAGAGTCAGAAAATAGCAGCTAATTTCAACTTGTGCTCTCGGTAACTTATAGTTCGCATTCGTTTAGCCTCGCTGCTATAGCGCGCTCTCCATATGATACAGTCTGCAGTCGAAAGCCGTCCAGTTACTTCTCCGACAAACTCGTTTTTTTCTCACTTTCGACATACTTTAACAACTTCACAATTGTGAAATCGAGCTTCGGGACAGAGCAATAAGGGATGCAGTCGTAGTCGCGCTGGCCATCAGTTCGGTGCATCGCGAGAAAGCTTCTAGCGATATTATGTCGTGCACTCTATTGGCAGGTAGGTGTGATGTGCAAAGAGCCGGGATGGCCATATGATTTGAAAGTTTGCTCGAAGTGGTGAGGTGCGCGAACAGCACAGCAGTGGATTATTCATAAGGCTCCGGGCGTTATAGCGTGAAAGTGTCGCGTGTCGGCGAGACATGCGTGACCGAGGAGCTTCTGGCCTAGCAGACCGGCGTCTGCCAGTATTTTTGTAGGCCAATAAAGCAGAAGGCGGCGAACGAAACTCATTTGCGATTCGGCGAGTGAGCAAAAACAACGCGAAAAAAAAATGATAAATTAGCAGTGGAATGACGAACAAGTTAAGCGTTTCGTACTCTTAATCAGCGTTATGTCATCTCCAGACGCAGCGACTTGCACTTGTGAATAGTGGCAGAAGCTATAATGACTTTGACCTCAGGCGCAGGGAAGTTCACTCTCTAGCTGGCATCTTTGAAAGTCAAAGGACGCAAAAAGCGAGGGCCTAGACTAAGCCCGGCCCTTGAAAATTGGCGCAATGAAAAATCCACCAAGCCGTGTGCATTAGGATCGCGTGTTTCATCGAGTTCTGCCGGAGAGGTCTTAATTGAGCTCGTAGTCCATCATATACGGAGAATCCATCGCGTGGCAATGGATGCGCGCGTGTCGATGGGCAAAGTTTTCACGGCTGCGGGATCTCTGCTCCGCGGGTGAGCGTAGGGGTGGCGAGGTGACCTCGCTCGCTGGCGCCGCGCGACCAACAGAGATACGAGTGTTTGATCGAAATCCTTCGCGCTTTGTCGCGCAGCTTTGGCCCGCAGCTAGTTCGGCCTCGTCACGGCGCAGTTCGACCTGAGCTCATCATAGTCAACGTCTAGCTCGTACGTGCCTACCGTATGTATAATCCATCCCACGCGGCCGTCGTCGAGTCTCGCGCCCGACTACTGGCAGTCAGTCCTCGACTCGCGCGCGACTTGATTGCACGAAGCTGTATTCTTCACCTCTTATCAGATTATTCTCATTCTCGCTCGCTTCGCCGGATTTTCGTCTTCTTGCCTTTTTTCACCTCTTCCCATTCTCGGGGCTATACTTCAACGTTGCCTATATACCGATTACTATTTTCGTCCGAGCATAGAATAATCCAGAACGGCTCTCACCCCAATGTGTAAATTGACAATTGTATTTCTCTGAATTTAAAATTTTATATCTTCAAGAAATAGCTTATTACGTGGAAATCAGATTACCGACAGACGTTCTTCGTTCGCGCATTCTATCATTTTTTACCACAATATCGCATAATAATCACAAGTAAAAGTATTAAAGAATAACGCGCTTTTCATTCAAGATGATCATCATCAATTACCGTATCGACACGTCGAATTATTACGATTTATTTTACGGCAAGTTAATCAACTTCAAATGTGCGAAATTAATTTTTTTAATAATAAAGATAATGAGAGTTCGCGTAGATTATTTCAATTATCAAAAACGTTTTTATTGTTACCCTTATCTTAGATGAGCGATAATTCAATTCATATAATACAGTAATAAAATCAAGTAAATTTGTATACTTCTGAAGGGAAAGCTTATCCATTCACTGTGCACACATTGCTTGCTCAAATACGATAAGAAAGTTCTTTTCGAGCTGATACGATTTTCAATAGTACTTTTCCGTTCCTTCATATAATCAGAATGCGGCTTTAGAAGTTTAACCGTGAATAATGTTATATCTTATCTTAAACCAGCCTTTCATTCAGTAAAAACAAGCGCGTTTAAGTTACTTTGAAAATTACAAAAGGGGTTACTTTTTAAATTCTTACGTACTATTGTAATAATTGTGAAAGTTTGCAAAAAAAAAAATAAATAAATAAAACAATCCGAATAAAAGTAAATTACTTGAATGGATTACCAGGAATTCTTGAAATGATAAACTCTCAATAAAAAATTTCACTATCCACATTTTATCGCACCTAACTTATAGGTAGATACTATGCACTTGCGTCGACTTACCCTTGAGAAACGAGCTCACAACTTTCGCGTTCTGCTTCTCTTTCTTATTTATATGCTTCCGTGTCTGCCATATATATGAATTGGTCATAAGCTCGAAGAAGTGGGTGTTTAAAAAAGTATTACTCGCGAGGAAGAGAAAGAGAGAAAGAGGGGAGCTGAACTCTCTGTAATCTAGCAAATAAAAAAACTGAGAAAGAGAGAGCAAGGGAGTATTAGAGTATTACAATCAGCGGCGGAGGATTTCATTTTTTCTGTTGATATTATCAGCGTGCGCGCCGCTCGTACGGTCTCACAATATACCTTACGGCTTTGCACACATGAGCGAATGTCGCGAGCGCGCGCAAGTATAGGCCGACTATCTGATTTTCACTTAGTGGTGGTGCACGTATGAAAGAGTACAGAGGTAGGCAGTGAGAAATGACTACATAACAATCAAATCGTACGTTTTTGTCTGTTGCCTCGCGATCGCCGCTTGTGCGCACATACAGCTTCGCTCGGCGGTGTTGAGCAGACGCAACAGCGGGCCACGGACAAGGAGAAGTGCTGCGCCGTCGTTGGCGTTTCGTCGTCGAGTAGCAGCGACAACAGTGGCCGAGGAACCGTCTTCGAGGTGGAAACAACTACGGCATCCTGCTCGGAGCAGCAGCGCCGAGGCAAGAAACGCAAGATGTGCGAGTCTGCCGAAGAGATCTGGTGCCGTTCCAGGCAGAATGGTGTCGTTCAGCCTCTACTTACTGGTAATTTTTTTACTTTTGCCTCGTCCTTCCTAACCTTTATTTCCCGCGGCAACGCTGATGACCCAATTTACAGGATGATTACACGAGCACACTGTTTACCTGTGCTCATTTCTCATTCCCGTCTCGCTTTATGTAATTCTTTGTAACTGTCATTCATGCTGACGTTTACCGCCTGATTACACCAACACTTTCAATTTTCATGTTTACGTGCGGATAAACGCTGCTGTGTACCAATGTCGGTGTGAACTTGGCCTGCAAATTTCATCCATTTTCAGTGGCGCCAAATTCAAACAAACTCACACACAATCTTCTAATTTTTCTTTTTTACAGATTTGTATCAAATTACAATGGCCTACGCATATTGGAAAAATGGAAAAATGAATGATCACGCTGTGTTCGATTTATTTTTCCGGAAAAATCCATTTCGCGGTGAGTTCACCGTGTTTGCTGGATTAGAGGAGTGCTTAAAATTCCTAGATAAGTTTCATTATTCCGATAGTGGTAAGTTCATCTTTATTATAAATGCACTTGTGGCTTAAATGTTATGTAATGTTACGTGGCTTTTTAAATGTATTTTTTGCTGACGTTTACTTGTAGATATTGAATATTTAAAATCGGCCATGCCGCCATCAGTTGAACCAGAGTTTTTCGAGTTCTTAAGAGGTACTACTGCAAAAGAAGTAACACTGTATGCAGTTCAAGAAGGATCTGTAGTATTTCCAAGGTACTATTTATTTCTTTACTGTCAAAGTTTTTTTATTGCGTTTGCTTTAATAGACTGCTTATTACAGGGTACCTCTACTGAGGATTGAAGGACCTTTGATAATGGTGCAAATTTTAGAAACAACTCTGTTGACTTTAGTAAATTATGCAAGCTTGATGGCAACGAATGCAGCGAGGTATCGCATGGTTGCTGGAAAATCTATATCTTTGCTTGAATTCGGCTTGAGAAGAGCGCAAGGGCCAGATGGAGGACTCAGCGCTTCAAAATACAGTTATATTGGTACGAACATAAAAATCGAATAACACTAACTTTACGTTACACCTCTACAAACTATCGATAACGAAAAAAAAAAAAAATAATAATAGCTTGAATTGAAATGGAACAATTTTCGGCGTGAGGATCGCTAGATAATCGATAATAAATGGTTCTAGTCTGTACCAGCTATTGGAAAGTAACGCACACATGCACATGTCTTTTTACGAAAAATACAAAGTCACAAGGTCAAATCTGAAATTTACTCGCTAGAGCTGTCTCGATTTTTCGCAGTTTTTACTGTGCTATACTTAATCTCGTACTTGCCTCTATAAGTCATGATATATTCAGTCTGTTATAGACACCTATTTCAAGACATTTCATCAAAAAATTATGCAGTAATCAATTATTGTTTGCAGGTGGCTTTGACGGAACCAGTAACGTTTTAGCTGGTAAATTGTTTCATATACCAGTGAGTGGTACTCACGCGCATGCATACATAACTTCATTTTCAAGTTTCAACGATTTGCATACCAAGGTTTGTTAATTTTCTGTCATTTAATAAGTTATTACCAATTATCGTGCTTTTTTAATGTATACAATTATTAATCTTTTATAATTACATGTATTTGACTGTCTTTCAATGTATTTAATAATTGTCTAAATGATGAATAATTAAGGCTCTATATATATCTCCATATACATCCATTATATATTCACACTTATATAGATATATATTAATTGGCAAAAATTAGTTGACGTTTCTTTCTAATGATTTGCTTAAATTCTAAATAGTGAATGTCTAAATAAATTACCATTAATAAATGTTTCAAGCTACTTTCGGCTTAAAAATGATAAGCACTTCACTTTCAAAGCGTATGTCTTTAAGAAAAAAATCGCATAACTTACATATTGTTAAAGCTTGAGATATTACGCACTAATTGACTCGTCATCGGTTTATCGATATCAATTGGCAATTAAGCTGTAGCAACAAACGGAAGAGAAAAAAGCATGGATTCTCGAGATTTTTCAAACGTGGACAATTTTTTACACAGTTTCTGTTTTGTCAGAAAAACTTGAAACGCCGGGAAAAAGTTCATTTTTTAATTCAATGTCTCCTTGAAGCAATGGTGGTGGAATCCAAACAAATTAATTAGTTTATTTGTAAAAGTTAATCTTTGAACGAAAAATTATCTAGTCAATGTTCGATTATTTTCGGATTCGATGAAAAATATTGAAAGGCTTTTGAATTTTTCAATTTTTCATAAATTTTTGAACATATCACTTAAATGGTTAAATGATGACGTCTCAAAGTTCAGCATTACGTTCAAACTAAGCAACAGTTTTTTTTTATTTTGATCATAAAAACTCAATATAACACGATACCAACAATAGCGCACCGTTGCTTGTAGCTGAAATAAAATACTATTTTTGAAAAATAATAGATTGCGAACGCAATGTTCAACTTTAAGACTCTGGCATTAAAATATTTAAGTAATACGTATATAAATTCATGGATGAATAAAAATTTTTAAAGCAATTCTATGTTTTGCGTCAAAAATTGGACGAGCCATTGACAAAATAATTTTTTTTCCGAAGATTATTGTTTTTTATTAATTCCTTGAACTATAAACTAAATTTTTTCCTGGTGTTTCAAACTTTTCTAACGTAATGGCAGCTGTACGAAGTGACTCGTTTTTGAAAAAGTTCGAACATCCATGTTTTGTTTCCTTCCTATTGCTTCTACGGTTTTGCTTATTGGGTAGATAAACAGCTAATGAATTGCTCGATAAGTAATACCTTAAGCTTTCTACTCTATGTAAGTTTTATTTTAATGTGGTTTTTTTTCGCTAAAATATTTTTTCAGAACTGTGGTACTTATTTTCTTTGTTACTGATCATAGATAATGATTGATAATTTATTTTTCGTAAATATGGAGTTTTTGAAAAAAAATTTACCGCACAAAATACGACGAAAATATACAGTGGAGCATTGAATGATTGTTTTCACATTTACGGAAACCGATAAAGATGTACAACAAAGGCCAAAATTCGAATTTGCTTGATTTTATTGTAATAATCGTTTTAATAAAAATATCATAATACTTTTTTAAATTTAAAGTATTTAATATCAACATTAATTTATATTATTGTAAATAAAAATTTCTTAATTACAAGAAAACACAATACTTAATATTACAAAATATTATAAAAATCTTTATAACATTTTGGTTTATCGAAATAGTTTACTTAAAGTGATGTAGATATATGAGAAACGATATATAAACTCTTAAGCCATTTTTTGTTACTCTTAAAAAATACTGCAAAATAGTGAAACAAGTTGAAAGTTATGGTGCTTATTTTTCAGACACTAACTCATAGACAAACTGGTGAAACAATAGATCTATTAGCGTTGTCTTGCGATTACCGTGACAAGATAGCATCCGATTTTGATGCCCTTGCATCAGAAGCTTCTAATGGGGAGCTTGCAGCTCTCGTAAGCTATGCAATTGCCTTTCCCGATGGATTCATGGCTCTGATTGACACATACGATGTGAAAAGGTAAGTTTTTCCAAATTATCTACATTTTATGGACGTTATAGGTAGAAATTTTTTTGTGTAATGTCTGTGTTTTCCTAATCTTGTACGTGAACGCTTCATCTCTATATATCGACGCAAATTAAATTCATAGCAAAAATTAATATTTATTGCTTGTAATTTTAAAAACAAAACTTTTTCATTAATTTATAAACAGAAAATTTATATAACCGCGGGCACGTGATCTTTCTAAAAATCATTATTTATAATAAAATAAAATCATTAAGTAAAAAGCACTGAAGAGTTTTGTAAGCAGGTAATACAGAACTAACAGAGATGTTTTTATAGTGTTCAAAATACAGCCAAGCGTCAAACAAAAGTAACTGACTCAAATCTAACAAATAAGCTTCTAACTAACGGGAGCAATAAGACACCTCGTAATGGTGCAAGACATGACTCGATTATGTCTGACGAATCAAGTTGGCCCCACAACAGTGACATTATAAGATACGATGAATTGGGTGAGCTCTACGTAAGGTACGGTCACGTGTAATTTTTTGCTTTATCTAATGCGAGGATCATCTACGGTATTTAATAAGCATGGTTTGTACAGCTTTTTTTTCTCTCCTGGAAATTACATAACACAAATATTCTCTAGTGAGATAAAGCAAAAAGTTTCTTCACATTTCATTTCATCCAGAAACTTCAAGATATATAATTCACAAACATAAAATTAGGATGATAGTGAAGAACTACATAGAAGATTTACTGAAATCTTTTATTCTTTGACATTTTTTTCATCCATTTTGATATATTAAAAAATAAAAAAAAGCATTTTGAAAATGAATAACAAGTCTTCGCAGATCTATTATAAAGATCTGAAAATTTGGTTTTGAAATACACATCCAAATATACAATGATACTTAAAGTTATAAATTAATTTCACACATATTTTTTTCATTCATGCAATAAGAATATCAGAAAACTTATTTCTTTTAAGTATTATGAATAAAATTTAACTTTGGTTTCATTTTCTTATACTAATATTCAAACTGATAACTATCAGAAATTAAATGATCAAATGATTAAATATTACTTTACTTCCATTTAAGGAATGGACCTTATGCAGTGCCCTCCCCAATTCAACGTTTAATTAACATAAAAATAAAAATCTATACTTATATCTAAAAGCTGTTTTGTCTAAATTATTTGATTAAATTTTCTGCTTTTCACATTCCTCATTAATCTAGATTGAGTGAAAGATATTGAAAACAATTCTTCAAACTCATCATACATTAGATATCAAGTTTAAAAAATCAACCATTGTCACTGAAATAAGGGTAATACTGAAGTTTAAAAATTATTTTTCTATTTTTTCAGAAGTGGTTTATTGAACTTCTGTGCGATTGCTCTGGCTCTGAATGATCTGGGTTACAAGGCAATTGGTATTCGAATTGACAGTGGAGACCTTGCCTACCTCAGTCAAGTAGCTAGAAAACTTTTCCAAACACTTGCAGAGAAGTTTGATTTACCATGGTTTTCCAAACTGACCATTGTAGCGTCAAATGACATTAATGAAGAAACTATAATAAGTTTAAATGAGCAGGTAAATGAGTTTGAATAATTAATTTTTTTAATTTGTAAATTATAACAACTTCCAATAAGTTAATTTTGTTTTTATTTAATTAATTATTAATTAAATTTAAATTGATATTTTACGTTAATATTTTATTTCATGATTTCAGAACCACAAAATAGATTGTTTTGGTATTGGTACACATCTAGTAACATGTCAAAAGCAGCCTGCTCTTGGTTGTGTCTACAAGTTAGTTGAATTGAATGGTCAACCAAGAATAAAATTGAGCCAGGAAGTTGGGAAAGTGACAATGCCTGGTAGAAAAACAGCTTATAGATTATATGGATCAGACGGACATGCTTTAATTGATTTATTACAGAGGGTTGATGAAGAACCTCCTCAAGTTGGTCAAAAAGTACTCTGTAGACACCCCTTTGAAGAATCAAAAAGAGCTTATGTAATTCCCACGAGAGTTGAATCCCTTCACAAGGTAAAACTTTTTAAGTTTCTATTTTAATATTCATTTAATTTTTTGACAAAATTATATATATATAAAATATTGAATTTAAAATTTGTTAATAAAATTTTATACTCTAGATGTATTGGAAGGAGGGAAAAATTTTGGAAAATATTCCAGCCTTAGTTGAAACTCGAAATCATGTACGAGAATCTTTAGGAACTTTAAGAAATGATATTAAAAGAAATCTTAATCCCACACCATATAAGGTTAGTAATTATGAAAGCATTTTTTTTTAGCATTTACTTTATAACTATTATTATTATTCGCATTTGTAGGTTTCTGTGAGCGATGACTTATACAATTTTATACATGATTTGTGGCTTCAAAATGCTCCTATTGGTGAATTATCTTGAGGTGTTATGATTTAAAGCAGTTGGAAAAGTTTTGAAAGCTCACATGAGATAGAAAATAAGTTTCAATAATAATAAAGTATGAAAAGATATCCACAAGTAAACAATTAAACGAAAAACTAGAACAATTATTTAAAAAAATTTTATTCATTGTGGGGCCTTAAGGTGGATAGAATATTTTTACAACAAATTTTAATTTCGCATAAAAATGAAAATATATACTATTCTATAAAGGTAAATTTAATTAAAGAAATCTTTATAGTTTCCTAATTGATTTAAATGATTTGAATTTAGAACTTTAAAGCAATGAAAGAAAAATAAAGTAATATACTACTCGATATCCATGTAATATTTTTAAAGCTGATTGGGTTTTAGTTACAAGTGTAATTTCATTTTTATTTTTTAATCATGCAATACACATTATATATGTGACTTATTCTATGAAAAAGCTACCTCATAGTTGCAATAGTTATACATTAATTTTGAATTATTATTATTTTTTGTAAAATTTATTATAGATAAATGCTTTCTGTAATTCGTTTGATTAAAATATACAAGTGACTGTAATAATCAATCTATCATCAAAGATGCCTATTAGCAACAAACAGTAAATTATGCTCTATCATCAGTTTGATGATATATTTTTTTACAATTTATCTATATAATAATAATGTTTTAAATATTTAAGTTTGAAATAAATAGCTCCAACAATTCAAAACTTACATGAGCTTTTTGATATATTGTACAACATATCTTTATCATAAAATTGTTAACATCTACAAAAAATCGTTAATTGTGAGATGCCATTTTTTGTACAACGAATATGAATGCAGCATAACACATTATAGATAAAGAATGTATTGGAAGTACAATTATAGTGCAACTATTTTTTCAAACTATAAAAAAGAGGGTCATAAGAAATAGAGATGTATTACAAATGTAAAGTATATAGACATAAGTGTAGATTAAATAATGTTGTCAATTCAAATACTAATTAAATACTGTTGGTAAATATAGTTATAAAGGACTTTCTACATAAGAGCCATCGGACATCGGACGCCAGATGTGCATGAAGATGTAAAAATGAATTAATTATTTAATATTAATTCATAAAATAAAAATATATGTTACACAGTCTTTTTAGACCACGCACAAATCTTTGGTAAGATAATGACAAACAATCAATTTGTTTTTTACCTCAGTATTCATCTAACATCCGATGTTCCATGGCTGTTATGTAGAAAGTCCCTTAATTAGATTTTACTATTACAAATTATATAAAATTTATTAGTTATTGTTGTAAATACGTGTATGTAATAACGCTTTACTTGATGTAAAATTGGTGTAGTCCTCATGTGTGATTATAGATTTATTTGTACAGTTATCAAATACTAAATTAGTTATAAAATATGCTTTTTAAATAATGGTTTTGTGCCGAAATTCGATAGAACTTTGAAATAATAAGCCAAATTAATAAAGTATATATTTGTCATATAGATTAATGAAATTAGAATTCAAATGTCAGAAGCTGATAATTGACTTTGAAATATTAGATGTTACAATTTTTTTAATCATGTCAATGACTGTATACATATTTGAAAATATGTTAATATTACTTAATTACAGTGCCACATATTATGTTATATAATGTGTCATATGCCTTTTTTTATGCACATACGCACACGACGGCAATGTTACTTTCTAGATATTAAAATAATTACTGCATAATACTTACAATATTATCATCCGATGTAATAAATTGTTTAATTTTTTAAATAAACATGAAAGGTAATGTTATTTTTTATGCCTCAACTATAATTTTTCGCGCCAAATATTCAAAGGTACAGATATTGATGCAGTTAAAAAATTAATTCTATAAATATTAAAACTTATGTATAAATATATTTTTGGCTTATTCTTATATTATCATACAATATTTATACCGATTCCAAAATAAGGTTTGCGCATGTCCATGTCCATAACGAAAGACGAAAGTTCAACGAAAATGTCGAAGTAAGCACCGCGATACGATTGCCAGCCAGCCATTATTGCTAAGCCGCTGCGCTGCCCCCACTGCCGCCGTACGCTTACCTCTGTTCCTCCATTGTATTACTACATCAATCGAGTTTGTGAATACGAACGCATGGAAATGTCTTTATTCCAATCTTTCCAAAAGTAATAATTACTCGTTAAATAAACATATTTTCATTGACAAGACATTCCGTAAGTATATTGCTTTTCAGTAATTTCTCCAAGAGCGATTATTCGTTTTTATGTGCAGTGATATTTTGGAGCATTTTTATATTCATCTCAATGTAACCAAACATTCCGGCTTTATATTGTTGGCTTCGGTAGAAAATATAATTGAGCTTACTATATGTATATGTGTAGCCATCGTTTTGTCTGTTTTCGCTACTTACAATAATTTCCGATTCTATATAATACTTATAATACAATCTATTCTTAAATCAATGTTATTAAACATTAAGCACTCGCGAACAATCTACTTCAACATTTTTTCGTGGTTAAAAGCGTCTTCGATATTATACGTTAATAGACGATAACTTTATTACTAATTGATTGCATTATATTCAATTTTTTAAATTGTATGATAATTCTTGTACGTTTCAAAGCTATTGTTTTATCCTACAATATTATCATTATTATCATCATATTTTAGAAAATTGAGCAATGGCTGCTCGTCTTTTAAAAGATCCAGCAACTGCTGGAAGTCGAATATTTGTTGGCCACCTACAAACAGAAGAAATGAATCGCAATGAGTTAGAAGAGCATTTTTCAAAGTACGGAACTGTAGTTGGTTCTTTATTAAATAGAGGTTTTGGTTTTGTACAATTTGAAGATGAACAGGCAGCTCAAAATGCCATAAAAAGTGAAAACGGATCAATGTTTAAGGGTCGAAGAATAGGTCAGTAATATATTGATTTATGAATATTGATAATCACAACAATGCTATTTTAGTTATCCTCATATATAATAAATAACAATTAATATATTTTAATCATTATAAGATTTCTGTACTTGTTTACTTATTTTTCATAATTAATAATTTACTTTTGTTTCTGGTTGAAACTAATAAAACCATATAAATATAAAGATAGCAATTTCAAAAATATTTAAATATATAAATTATGTAATTTTGATAATGATAACTATAAATATATTTATTTTACAATATTCTGATTTATCTACTAGATGTAAAACCTGCTAAGAAGGATGGTCCACCAAACAATCTATCAGGAGGAGGATTTGGAAATGATTCTTTCAACAATAATTTTGGAGGAGGAAATCAGAATTTCAACAATTCCAATTCTTCATTTGGAAATGACAATCAATTTAGCAGAAGTGGAGGAGGTGGAGGTGGTGGAGGAAACTCTGGAAACAATGCATTTGGTGATCAAGATGATTCATTTGGCAGAAATGAACCGTTCGGTTCCAATATAGGAGGGCCATTTTCTAATCGACCTAGTGGACCAGGTGGACCTGGAAATCAAAACATGAATAAGAATCAAAATCAAGGTGGATCTAATCAAGGAGGACCTGGAAATAGGGGCAGAGGAGCGAGGGGTGGCAAAAATAGAAAAACTAGAGATAATCCTATGGGTGGCAGTATAGGAGTTGGAATGGGCAGTGGTATGGGTGGTGGTATGGGAGGTGGTATGGGAGGTGGAATGGGAGGTGGAATGGGAGGTGGAATTGGTGGCGGCATGGGACGTGGTATGGGAGGCGGTATGGGAGGTGGTATGGGAGGCGGTATGGGAGGCGGTATGGGAGGTAGTATGGATGATCCAATGTCAGACGATCCCTTTAGCGATCGTATGGGTCCCGGAGGATTGGGAAGTGGCATAGGAGATTCATTGGGAGGACCAAGCTTGGGATCACGTTTCCGATCGACTTTAGGAGGAAGTTTAAGCAGTAGTCTCGGAAGCAATCTTGGCAGTAGTCTTGGCAGTAGTCTTGGCAGCAGTCTAGGAAGTAGTCTTGTAGGAGGACTTGGCAGTAGTTTGGGCAGTAGCTTGGGTAGCAGTCTAGGCAGTGGTTTGGGTAGTAGCCTGGGAAGTAGTTTCCGCGAACGCAGTCCTATTGGAAGGTCAAGTCGCTTAGATGATAATAAACCTCCACCTCTTTCATCTTGGGAGCTTAATAAGCCATCTGGCCCTAGTGGACCAGGGGGACGTGGAAACTTTGCTGGTGGAAATTTTGGAGATCCTAAAAGTCGCTTCGATGATTTCAAAGGCCCGGGACCTATTCGAGATTCTGGCCCAAGTTTTGGGTAATTGAAAACGATATTTCATGTCCTCACCTTATTGTATGTAATTAGTAATACTAAGATTTCATGTATTATTATTTAAAGTCCATCTGCTGCGCCACCAAATGACTATCCATCTATTGCAGCGGAAAAAAATGATTGTGAAATCATTGTCGTTAACAAAGCATTAACGTGAGTATTGTGAAACTTCCTTTTGAATAATTATTAAAATCACCTGAAGTAATATTCTTCGTTCCATGTAGAGAGTACGCTGAAACGATTGAATCACGGTTGAAGAAATTAGGATTGACAGTTGACTTGCTATTCCCGAATGAAGATGTTCCTTTAACACGAGTTCTTGGAAACATTGCTAGCCGCGGATGCTTGTACGCTATTGTCATTGCTCCAACAAACAAAGATCATCATTCTTTAACTCTAAATATTCTTCATGGGTTACCTCAAGGTAAACACAAAAAATTATAATTGTTTCTTATTTGTTTTCAGTTACGTTAATACTTCAAATGACTTTTCAGAACACAGAAACATGCCAGTAGACGATGCCATCAATCTAATAATGCGTGATTTCAACAATTATAAGTCCGGTGGTCGTTCGGTGCCAGCAAACGCTCCTCCAGCACAAGAACGTCATCCAGATGCTATCCAAGTACTCTTAAATATGCTTGCTGAAAATTTGCAATTGACGGTACTTCAGTACGAAAGGGTTCTAAAGTATCTAGAAGCGAGGCGAGAAGAACAAGTACAATTCGAGTTGGGTGAAGACGCAAAAAATTTAGGCCCAAGCTTAGTTAGTGATCCAAAACAGGCTGAACTGCAATCACGAATACTCAACATTTTAAACAGTAATAAGAGCAATTCATCAACAACGCCGACTACAACAGTCACAACGGCAGCACCAAGTCCAGTGCCGCCACCAGCAGGTAAAGTACTTCTCTTGCGATGTGAAGTTCAATTTGAATTTCATCGTGCCCTATACACATATCGAATACGTGTAAAACAGATTCTTTTGAAAACAACCATAAAACAATGTTCCGTTTTGTTTATCGAAGCTTTTGCGTTTTCGAGATTTTTACAATGGAACTGTTGAGCGGGTATAGTTTCATTTATTTAGGTTTTCTTCGTTGTCGTCAAGCAATACTTTTGCTTGTTTTATTTACAGTGTACTTTTATGAATTGTACTGCATTTATGCGATCGATATGAATTTCGCGGAGTTGTTTTACGCTTTTTTCCATGTTTCAGCAGGACTTTTCGCAAATACAATTCGTTCATAAACTACGTCGGAGTTTTTACGTCTTTTCAGTTTGTCATTTGCGTAATGTTTATGCGGAGAACAGAATGAGCGACGAACATTTGAAAGCTCGTGTCATTTACGCGTTAGAAATGCTTTTGATGCTTTTTTGGCTACTTGTAAGAGTATGCTTATCCAGCATCTTTTATCAGTGAAGTAATATCAAGACATTTTTTAATTCTTGATTTACTGGTTTTTGAAATTATGCCCTTAATTGCAAATTCCATTATGTGAAATTTTAGGATAACATGAAATTACGTTATAAGTTTAAGAGTTGACGTGGTAGGATCAACATTTTGGAAATACACTTGCTTTTTCTTTTACGCTCTTCTTACAGAGCAACGATGTTTTCGCGTTAAATATCGTGTAATCAACGCGAGTTCGGATTTTTAATGAAACAACTGCTATACGTTTCATTTTCATGTACATAAAATAAAATTGAAAACACGTACGACACAAGCACGATTGTACTCTAAATAATTGGAAAATATATAAATGGAGATTTTGATTGATGGACCATTAAAACTTGTCTAATTGTAGAACTTTTCATGTTATCAAAGATTAGGCACTATGTTAAAGCTATTTGCATTGATAATATAATGTCAAATCAGTGTCAATCATTTTACCATATATATTCTGAATGAAAATTCATTTTATGGTATTCTAATTTCTAGATAAAAATCATTACGCAAAATTATTTGCAAAAATCAGTTGATGTTTTCATTAATGTAGTTTCTCAAAGCAATACGTTTTATTCTAAATTTTTCTTTCATTGTCAAACGATGAAATTACAATAATTTACTATATATACGTCATTTTATTGATGAAAACTAAACTAACCTGATCATCGCATTATTTTGTGAAGTTGAGAACATTTTTAACGTTTCAACTTTCTAGTTCGAAAAAAGACACCTTTCCTTTAAAGTCCTAATAATATCGCATTTTTTTTCAACAAATGATATTTAAAGATTCTGGTTTTAATGAAACCTATGCCTCGTTTATCCTAATTCATTAAATGCCGAAAAAAAATTTAGTTTAAAAAATTTTTCTTGTAATTTTAAACCACTTCTGACCGAAATGGACCGTCGTTTCGAATGATTTTTATACATCGAAAAGACGTTTACAAGTGCGATCTTTATACTGATCAAAATAGTATCAAAACTAAGATTAGGAAAAAATGTATAACGCCAAGAAAATCGTGAGTGGATTAGATATAAAAACATAAATTTAAGATAATTTTTTATTACTACAATAACTAATGGCTGAGAAATAATGTCACTCGGAATTATTAAAAACTTGGTTGAATAGATAGAATCCAACATTTTGCTATACAAGATACTTGTATGTCAATTTTATGCTGTGTAATTCTGGAATTCTAAGGAATCTATGATCTTTTTCTAAAAGTTGGATTTTGAATTGATAAGCATATTTTTTTTTAGTTTTGATTCTACTTTCGAAAACTTGTTGTTTCACGTTTACCATGTCAAATATATACACACGCGCGTGCGCGAGTTAGACAAAATTTATTTTAATCGTTGATTAAAATGATAATTATTAAAATATCAAGATAAATATAAAGATTAAATGTAAAATAATATTAAATAATATTAATATTAAATATTAATATTTAATATTAATATTAAATATAAATTTATAGTAAATATAAAGATTATTGCTAGTCCCATTGAATTTGGAATTATTTATTTCAACTTAGAAAAAAGTGATTCTGAATTGAGATTCAAGCAATGCAAATATAATCATATTACAAAGTGTTTATGATGATATCATAGCTCTTTATAATAAAGTGGCAATTTTCCTAATCGTTTGTTTTAATGATTTTTTACCGAATCGAGGTAAATGAATATATCAATGAATATATCAATGAAATTATGCTACAATGTAGTTACGTAACTATCCTAGTTTTTATCTGAAGTAATATCTTGTTAGGAATCAATATTTACATTTGAATTGAAATGAAAATTCGACTTAATATTCGGGTAGTTTTAATAATCGTGGCATAAGTGTTCGGAACAAGAAGTTTTAATATAAGACGTTTCATATTATTTGGAATACATTTTACGAATTGCGTGAGTTTGATTTCATACCTTTTGAATTTGCGCCAAGCAAGTTTTGATATCAAGCACTCCTATATGTTTGTGAACACAGTTTGCGAAAATTCAAGCGTTTGACTGTTCATCATGTCTTAACATATGACATAAATTTACAATTCTACAGAATTTGCGCTTCATAAACGGAAAATTTCGGGATTGTCAGCGGGCGAATTTATTTCGGAAGTAGTTTTAAGGAAAATCGGAAAATATGTATTATTTTACGTCGAAATTCCAATAACAAAATTAAACGATTTAGTGCAGGTGTGATTTTTCGGAGAAAAATTTTACACTCAAGGTAAAATAAAACGTTGTATCTATGTGTGCTTTATCTTTATAACTTGAATTTTGCACCATAATTGTTATTATGCCCCGTCTAGGTACAGGTTGAATTATGAAAACCAGGTCATATAATCAAATTTTTTTTTAATTTTGTCGAGTCATAAATAATTTATTTCTTGAATTTGAAAAATTATTCATTAAATTTTTATAAATATTGTCTTTTGTTTAACAAGTACTGTTTTATGTGTCAGCAGTTTCCACGAACGTGTCTGGCAACTCATCAGTTACGACACCAAGCACAGTGGCTCAGTCACCGTTGTTGAAAGATCCCACAGTACAGAAGGCACTTGATAGTCTTTTGCTCTCAGGCAATCTGTTAAAAAACATTGGGGATCAGCCAACACCTAACTCATCAGGAGCTCCTCCGCTTTTTGCTGCTTTTCCTAATATTAATCGATTCTAATATCCTCTTAATGATCTATTGACCTCCATGTATTTTTCATGTTGCTCATTTCTTTTTTTGATTTGACTATTCGTATTTACCAAAAATATCTGCATAGCTGTGAAAACTAGTTCACTCTTTTAATAAATATCGATATGCTACCTTAATATAAACGATGAGTTTTTTTTCAACAGTTATCCCTTTCAGTAAATCCTCTTTTAAAATAAAAAGTCGTTGTTGAAATTTGGTTTTCTTGCGTTTTTGTCTAACTTGGTTTTCGTAGCAAAAAAGTTGTACACGCTCATCATCTACCATGAAGATCAAAGACAAGTTTCGAGTAAGTATTATTCAGTTTTCCAAAATATCAAATGCGACATACTTTAAATCCAAACAGCACCATTACGGATCTAAAAGTGTAATAAAAAATATGTTAATAATAATTATCGCAAACAGTTTGTTAGTTTCACCTTTTACAGTAGCAACGCATTGGACCAAGAAGCAAGTGGGGGATATAGCAGCCTAAAAAAGCACTTAGAAAAAAAAAAACAACTCAAGCTGTCTAGCAGAATTATTGTCTACTAAGCACGAAACAAAGCATGTATAACCAAGCCTATTAAACTTTGCTAATATACGTTTTATGTTGAAATTTACCTAGATAGTAACATTTCAGATACTGAACTGCATGGACAATTTCTTCGCAAGGCATTTTTACTTCAGCATAGAGGATATTAAGAACAGCCTTGACAGCATCGATGTCGTATTTGTTAACCAGTAAACGTTGCCTGTACGGTTTGAGTTTTTCAACAAGTTCTTTGTTATTCTTGGAAATGGAACCTATGTGATTGCGTAGAATTTCGTTGTAGGTCGGCCAGTTCTCGCAGCAAGCTATGCAGTCGCACTCGAAGAAATACTCGCTGGTCATCTTCTTCTTCCTCTCTTCTCGAGGCATGTAATGATAGCCACCACCATAACAAGTGAATATCTGGTCACCAACTTTGATGGGCTCGAGCGCACGAGTGATCATCTTCAATCCCTCGAAGTAGCGAAAAGTGTTAGGAGCACAAGAGTGATTCATTAGGCTTCCAACGCAATACAGACCGGATCCGACTTTCACACCTGACTCAAGTTGAACCTAAAGAGATTGGCGTTCAGTTTAGTTCTTTCAGTGACAGGAGCAACTACGAGATTAATAGCATGGCGCGGACTGTACGCGGATTACGCGACTGAAATTTGGCAAGCTACCAAAGGTAGGTATCTGAATCGTTAGCTATAAATTTTGGTAACAGTTTAATGCTCGCGACAACAGAACAAAAATCCAATCTAAGATCTGTCCGCTCGAATGTAAGAGATATCCACGGAACCTGCTACTTACGGAAAATGAATTGGATGATATAATGACGCAGTTGCGGAAGATAATGGCACCACAGAACTTCACATCTTCTCGATCAATGATGTTCTTTAGCTGACCTGGTCGGAATTTCTTTCCAAAAAAGTTGCTTTCTGTTGCCAAGAGTATTATGGACAGTGATACTACGCATGCAAATGCGCTTATTTCCATAGGAGGCCTAGTAACCAAATTCGTAGCCAAACTCAACGCTGATCTCGCGCTATTACTGTCGAAGACTTGCTCATCATTAAACCCGGCAGTTCTGTTATCTGCAACATGTGATATCTTAATTAATTTGGCAAGTTTTTTGTAAAATTATCTTGTTCAAATAAATATTTATGTACCTGTGTTCTTTTCTGCTTTTTCACAATCCTTTCGTAGCTCCTCCATAGCAGTTCCGTTTTTGGTGGCCACCAACAGAAGTCTTATTATCTTAGTAAGTATTCTTATTTTATCTTTGTCAACATTAAGTAATTTCGCAAGCACCGCATGCACGGGACATTCAAGTCGATGTACCATTTTCCAAGCTGTCGTTCGACATTCTTCCGAACAATATAATGCAATGGGACATTTCGAGCATGGAATCAGATTGTAACTGCGTGATAAACAGTGGTGACAGTGTGTATAATATCTGTGAAAAATAACGAATTGCAGGTAAGTCGCTCTTTACCGAATTTCATTTGTATGAGATAAATTTTCCGTTAGACTTACTTTTCTCTATAATTAACGTAAGCATAAGGATACTCCATAGCAACAATATCGCCAGGTTTAAAGGGTTCCGTGGCAATTAAATGTCTTCCATATTTTTTAGAATACGAAATCTGTACTCCTTTGCTGAGAGATGGAGCTTCTTCGTTTGGTCCATACGGAAAGCCCAACTCACCTTCGTCTAACACATACCTTGGAACGTTTTCTGGCTTCTTAGATATTAGCTCGATAATTTCGGATTTTGTCAAATCTTCATTTTGTCCTTCTGTTTCAGGTTTATCTTTAACTAATTCTTTAACTATAGATAACTCGTTTTCTTTTTTAGAGTCATCGTTATTGTCATTAGCCGGAGATGGGCCAGTTAAAACATTTTGCGTAGGTAAGTTATTCATATTTACATCTTTGATTTCAAATTGTTGCTTAAGGCAATCGATAGCTTTATCTGCTCGTTCTTTCAATTTTTGACATTTTTCTTCAGGGTATCCATGTGATAAAGCTGCATCGATGTCGATGAGGCATTCACGATACAGTTGCATACGATAAAGAGCAGCCGAGCGATTCGCGAATGCATGTGCCATAGATTCTTTGCTTGGAGAAAAGGCTAGGCTCATCGTATATTTCTCGATCGCGTCATCGTCATCGCCCATGACAAAACACTGATTGCCTGCGACATTAATTACTTTTTAATTTTAATTGTTATACAAAAGTGTATTTTAATTACATTTAAAAATAGGTTGTATTTAGCTGTATTATAACAATATATATCTCATTACAATAAAACGTAATAACAATTCATATTCTTTATTTATTTTTCACTTTTGAATTCAGTCCTCAGTTTACAAGTCTAAAATAATTTGTCTCTGTGTACATTACATATAATCATTATTGGTAATAATGCAGAATGCATTTTCTCAGTTTATTTGAATTACTTTAATTGCTATTTTATATACTTATCCTAAATTTAAAAAAATAATATGTATCATGTTGCCGAATAAAAATAAAGCAAAGATCAAAATTATTGTTGCAATTTTTTAAAAACTTTGTTACCTTCTTCTTTATATGTAGTAGCATCATTATCGTTTTTGACTTCAGGAGCCAAGGTAGGTAATTTTGACTTTATCATGTTACTCAAAACGTGGCTCACTAGTGCTTCACATTCTTTCTGTAAACCGTATCCGTTATGCAACTCGTTCTTCTTTACAGCCAAAATTAACTGCTTAGAGAACTCCATCTTAAGAAAATAATTTACTTGTATAATTTTTTTATATGGAAGTATTTTCACAAACGTTTAATTTTTTAATTTCGCATTCCTTGTAAATATTGTACTTACAGAGCGATGAAAGATATACTTACTATTCTGTTATGTGATTTAGAAAAATTTGAAATAACTAAAAAGAATCTGAGAAAATTAAGCTAATTTTATTTAGTAACTCTTATAAATGAAATGAAATGATTAGCGTTTAAGTGAAAGATTTCAAAATCAACAAGTAATATTCTATCGAATACGTTTCTACCGAGTTCATGAAGTTGCGCCTATGCGTGATTGTGCACTAAATTAGCTAAAGCTATTGATGTACTAAGAAGACTAAAGCAGCGGGGTGAGACTAAAATTACCTCGACGTGTGTAAAACGGAAAGGGTTTATGCAATACTTTCATCTGTGAACATTATGAAGAGCTTTCACCGGTTATATATATATATATATATATATATATATATATATATATATATATATATATATATATATATATATATATATATATATATAATAGATGTACAAAAATGGATATTCACAATTTTTACTTTAAACCTACTTAAAGCGAATAATGGCGTAGTCATTTAAGCCTTGCATACATGAAAATTGGCATGTTCAACTTTGTGATAGTTGTACTATTTATTGTAATTTTGGAATGATTAAGTGATATTCCAAGTTTTGTAATTTTAGATAAGGGAAACTAATTCGATAGGGAATTATTATTTTAAATGTAATTAAAAAAGATAATTTTATTTAACAGTATTCACATAATGTTACAAAAATGTACATATTGCATTTAAATGATAACATAAAATACAGTAGTAGGATATTATTCATTAATCATTATTTATTAAATTCATGGCATTTAATTTTATAACAATTTATCAACAAGTTCCATTACATACTCAAAATGTAAATAACTATAGTGGTGCTTTGAAAATCATATTGTATGAATGCAGTTTTGATAAAATATCCGTTTTATATCTTATAGAAAATTATATCGTAATTTATTCAAAAAAGTGACGATACATTCAGTAAAATATATTTAAAATTATACAAGATCACAATCAATTAATAGTTGCATTGAATATTTAACTAAAAACATCATAATTTTCGTTTCAAGCAAATAATTGTTTGGTATGATTAAAATTCAAGTACAAGTAGTTATAAAATATTTAATTAATAATGAGAGTCGAAAATAATCAAAGCTACCGGACTTGTACAGCAAAAAATTTATTTATTGAACTATGGCTATTCCTTTAGTGAGCACATATTTATTTATATGAAATTATTTTATCGCCATGATAGAAAAGAGTAGTTGAATCTATGAGCTATCGACGTATCTTTAACGTAGCAGCTTCTTTAAATTAAGTTAGCAATTCAATCGCACTCCGCTCAAATTTCTGATTTCTTTACCAGTACGCAAACATTGTAAAAAAATTTATATAGTAAATTAATTAAGACATAAAATTTTTTCTTTGGGTTAGAAATTTAAAGACTTTTTTACACTTTGACACTAACAAACACAAGATGATAAAAAATCAAACCAATCACATGCAACTCGTAATTCTCTTGATGCTTAAAAATATTTTATCGTTTTTCGTTTTACAACTTTAGTGTATTATTATGAAAGATGTTCGTTTGAAACTTCAACTTTGTAATAATTTTATATAAGAATAACCTTACAAAGAGATTGATATAAATATGAACAACTTCTTTTTAGAATTTTCTTCAATAGATTATTGAAAGAATTAGTGTACATTATACAAATGTCGGTAAGTTGGAAAATTTTACTTGATTTTTAAAAATGTAAAGTTTTTTTATATCTATCATTCCCTGCCAAGATTCTTAAGGGCATGTCAGTACTTATTAGCACATGAATATACATCAAATATCTACCTCTAAAGCAGCGTTCTTTTATTGCTTATCAAAATATACATTTCAAACAATTATAGTCATAACAGTCGGAATAATCAAACGCCAAAGAGTATTACTAAACTTCATGTCCATCTCAATTCTTTGATTAATTTAATCTTATATAAAAATTCGAAATTGGCTTTATAACTTTCCAATTTCCTATTCTAATGTCATCATAATTTGTTGAGATATCTTGTGCACAATTTGAGTATTGATCCAATACTCCAAACTTCATTCCATTTAAAGATCTACAAAATACTAAATTACTACCTGAATTATTTCATTGTAGATATTACAAATATTTAATAATGACGCATTTTAACTTTTGTGACTACTCTTCACCGTTCATATGTAATTATCATTGCTCATTTATCATTTGTGCGGCTTAAAATATTTCAAGCAACTTCAGTTTCATAAAAATTCTCTATTATTTTGCATAATCCAAGTTGTTCTATGCACCGCTTTTTATTGCAAAAATTTGGTGCTTAATAATTTAGATGTATTAATTATCTAGATAAGGCGCATCCCTACCTTGCTGAAAATATATTTATTGTACTACTTGCATTACGTTTTCTTACAAGACGAGCAGCAACTATAAATTGATATTACAGTGTTAACTAAAATTTAGTTTTCTGATAGACAATTGAAGAATAAAAATACTACTTACTATTTGCATCTTGAGGTGTTAAAGGTTTAACTAAAACTTTTTGAAAAACATTTATCCATTGGGATCTGTCTTCTTCAGTTTGAGCTGAAAGAAGGTAAGTTCTATCTGGGGTTTCAAGAGTAAATGAGAAACCTTGATCACGAGCACCTGGTGGAACTCCTATTTTTACAGCATAACCTTCAGAAGTATGTCCTAAGAATATTTCTCCTTTTGGATGAGCATCCTTTGAATAATAAATATTTATACAATTACCCTTTGTTTTATATAGTAAAAATTTTTTATACCAAGGTAATGAAGGTATATTTTTATTTTGTAATATTAAATAATGATGAATTGATGTATTTTATTTATTATTAATAATTATTTACCATTGGATCATCGTGGTACATTAATTTACGACCATCTAATGTAAACCATCGTTTTTTATAAGCATCACTGTGTCTTGGTCCTGTTTTCCATAAAAATCCTTCTTTTGGGAAATCTTTTGTTAGTTGACACAATAATTCAGACTCACTTGCTCCTGGATATGCCACTTGAAGACGATGCAACTTTGCACATCTTATAGCTAAATACCAATTAGTTATTACTTCTGGATTTTCATGATAGACATAAATGTGTCTAGTAGTTCCATCTTTCATAAAAGAAATTTGTAGACTGTTTTGATTGCCTGTCTTTGGTGGTGCGAATGATACGTTCAATTCTGATATTCTCAATACTGCTTTTGGTTCCTTTAGATAGAATAATTTATATGCATTATTAACTCTGCTAAAAAAATATTAAGAAAATTCCATTTAAGTTTTGAAAATATTTTGTAAAATATACCTTATTTTCTTTTACGTAATACTTTAGGGTATCATCAGCTTCACTTAAAACAAATTTTCTAGGGTGATACCTGGCATCCTCTTTACCTCTTTTCATTAAAAATCCTTCCATGAATCCGGAAACATAATGATTCTGCTTATCTGGGTGACAGAATTCTTGTCTTTGATACTTAGCTCTAATCCACTGTTCTATTAAAACCCTGTTAATATTTAAAAAATAAATTTTATTTATGAAATTATGTTTTTCAATTCCATTACAAATTAATATTGTACTTACTGAGGGGAGTCTTGATTTGGTCTTCGGTAGCATGGTGGAACTCGCTCTTCATAGTGTAATCGTGCAGCTGCATTACCTATTTCACGTACTCGATTCACTTGGGAGTCTTCCCACTTGTCAAGTTTTAGATGCTTCACTTTTGAAATCGCTGCTCCCATAGATCGATGTACTCCTGCACATCTTGTACATACAAATATGCCTATGTTGTAAGATGCCCATTCTGGATCTAAGAAACATTATTTAACATATTTAATTATTTAATAATATCAAATTATCTTTTTAGTTGTATGTTGAAAATTATGATTTGTTGGACACTTAAAAATTTCTCTCTGCAGGGGGTAAAGGAATCACCAATGAAATTCCTATGATAAAGTAATGAAAAGTTACCTTTCACATGATAAAATAACAATAAAAAGTACATGTGTCGAAAAATTAATGAGTTTTTTGCTATAAATTAGATCTATATTCACGTATAGAACATTTAAATAGTTTTAAATAACATTTTATAATAGATTAGTCGCTTAGTTGCATAGTATGAATCCACGACTATCTTCTCGTATTTATTAAAATTCAATGGAAAGATTTCTGGTTTTAACAATACATTCTATGAATAATAAATTTACGTGTTATACATTGAATTTATTTACTTTTTGCTCCACAATCGGCACAAATATTATTTCCAGGTTTTTTTAAAAGCTCTGCTAGCAGCTTCTCGTTAGCGTCCGCCATCTTGAAACACACTCGATGTCAGTCAGTTGTCGCAACAATTCGTTCTACGGTTCTATCCCTACCAAGTTTTACGCATGCATGTACATGATAAAACTCACGTACATATATTTTATTGCGTGCGTGAGTATATGTAAATATGTATTTTATTGATAAAATTTAGTAAAAATTATTTAAAATGATATTCTGGATAGTTATTTATATTGTTATAAATTGAAAGAAAAAAATATGATTCTATTATAATTATTAAGTTTTATTTTATAAGATAGTATTTATAAGAGCATAGGTGGATTATAAATTAGTTATATATTACTTATGTAATACAGTATTGTAGCAAATGTCAATATTTACAAAATTTACATTACAACTATATAAATTTAAAAACTCTTGGTATTTGTATAAATTTTTTCATTATTTTGTCGAGCTAATTCAGGGAAAAACTGAGAATTGTATTTTTGTTTAAATTGTGACTTAGAGCCATTTGCTTCTAAATCACCTTTGTTTCTTAATTCAGCTAATAAAGCTTGAGTTTTTAATCTTTCTTGTTTTTCTCGTTCCAACCTTTCTGCTCTTAACTTTTCAATATCCAAATATGACTTAGATTGACTAGGTTCTTTGTCTTTACTCTTTTTATGGTTTTTCAATTTTTTATGTTTTTTATGCTTTTTGTGTTTTTTTTTGGATCTGTATTCATCTTCACTGGATTCATTTTCTAACGTGGATTCACGTTTCTGTTTATTACTTTTTGAATAATTATCTTTAATGTTACTATTGAAACTTGATTTTTTATTTTCACATTTTACTACTGGTTTATTGCTGCTTTTTTGTGTAGACATCATTTTCAAGTATCTTTTAATATCTTGCATTGGATCTTCAACAGATTTTTTATTAGGTTTAAATTCAATATTGCTCTCAGTGTCATCTATTCTTTTTGGTAGCTCATTATACCATCTTTTACTAACATCTTCTTTACAACCTTGTCCAAGATATGTTAATAAACCAATTTGTTTTTCATACTTTTCCTGCTCTTCTTTTTTCTCTTTTTCATAATCTTTATTTGATTTAGTATAATCTATGCTACCTTGTTCCAACTCTTCAAAAAAATTGATATGCTTAGAATTTGTTGATGTACTAGCATTTGATCCAAGGTTCTGTTCACGAGGAGCATAAGTTTCTTGAATGTCTCTGTTCTTTTTTCTGGATTCGTTCCTTAAAAAATTCAACCGTGCTTCACTTTCCTAAAATTAAATAAATTTTGAAATAATTAATATTATAACAATTAATTAGATTTATTTGAAAAGAAATCTATAGCTTTATATTTTTATACTACATACCGCTTTATCAATGCGAGCTTGTTCAAGTTTTGCTTGTTCTGCAGCCAAAGCTTCATCTTTTCGAACTCTTGCAATGTTTTCTTTAGTTCTAACATGCCACCTAAAAAAATAAATTGATATTATTGATTTTACAAAGACAAATCTAAATAGATAAATCTAAAGATATTTTTAATAAATTGACACTTTTTAACATAGTACATACCTTTTTTTTGGTAAAATATTCATTTTTTAATATTTTTAGAGGTTATATGAACTAAATTTTATAATCAATTTCCAAAAATTATATCACTTGTATGTATACATTTCATAGATTATTCTATTCTATAATTGTTGAGTTAATTATAATATTTATTTATTTATCTAACTGAATAGCAAATTTAGGTCGGTGCTGTTTATTTTCTGTATATTGTTCTAACGAATATAGAAGCTTATATAGAAGGTCAGTCCTGTTACTCCTGTGTGTAAGCCTGGGTAGTTCCAGAAAATCTTTCAGAGCGTACGAACAGCTTAACTATGTACACAATTGTAGTATTATAGCCAATGCATAGCAAACGTCAACACCATATATATATCTCGTGTATGGGGCACACACATACACTCGGTACTACTCGGTACTCGTACTCGAAGTTTTTTGCCTATTCCGGGTTCCCCAGCGACTTAAAAATTAAAGTGAGCGTCTATATTCGTTGATAGTTAACCAATTTGTTATGTCTTCTTATAGATAGCTCTGCCTTGATTTGTTTAGGTCGTCATTCGCCGATGTCGCCGATGATCTGGAAACATTTTCTCTAATTTGTTTTATCTGCAGCTGCAGATAAGACACACATATATATCTATATCCATAGATATGTACACACAAAACAGAGCATGATAATACCGACCGAATTGATAACCAAAGTGATAATAACACAGTCGATTATATGCAGTGCGCGCCTACATATATACCTACAAAAATGTTTGTTGACGTGTCAAGTATAGTTATTAGTTTCCACGTTTTACATGCTTGTCAAAAGTTGTGTAATAGTTTGTATAAAAATTTAGAAAAATGTTAAATTTACGGTCATGATTTTATTTCGTTTTAAAAATATATTTAGTATTAATCATCTGTTTTTTCCAAAATTATTTTTATTAATTCTCATTTTTGAAAAAATAACTGTATTTGTTGAAAGTGATGGAGAGTCTAACCTTTCATCTCTCAATACAACAGCAAATGCGAGCTCATCAGAATTCATCAAGAATACTAATGATGTGGAAAAAGAAAATACGAAAAAAAATTATACCAATGTTAATCAGAATATAATGATTCAATCAATCAATTTAGCATCTTCAAATTTGATTGGAGCAACATTGCCTAACAATTCTAACACAACAGAAACAGTGAACATTTTAACAACTGATTTATCAAGATCATTGACTCCAACACAGAATCTTCTTAATATCAGTTTATCAGATGTATTGACGCCTGCAAAAAATATAAATGTAACTAAAACAACACATATAAGTATAAGTACTACTCCTATTCCTGCTGAACCCAAGTTGCCAGATCAAGGTTCTGCTGAAGATGAGCACAATAGTTCAATGTCTATATTTTTCGTACTCTGTGTCTTAGCATTAGGTATCTTATTAATACACTTAATGTTGCAAACCAACTTCCAGTATTTACCAGAATCAGTAGTCATAGTTTTCTTAGGTGGAGTAATAGGAATGATAATTAATCTAATGTCTCATCAGAATATAGCTAATTGGAAAAAGGAAGAAGCATTTTCTCCTACAGCATTTTTTTTAGTATTATTACCACCGATAATTTTTGAATCTGGATACAATTTACATAAAGGAAACTTTTTCCAAAATATTGGAAGTATAATGGTTTTTGCTATATTCGGAACTGCCATTTCTGCTTTTGTAATTGGAGCAGGAGTTTACCTTTTAGGAGTAGCACAAGTAGCTTATAAATTAAATTTTGTTGAAAGTTTTGCTTTTGGATCATTAATATCAGCTGTTGATCCTGTTGCTACTGTAGCTATTTTTCATGCACTTGATGTTGATCCAGTTCTAAATATGTTGGTTTTTGGGGAATCAATTTTGAATGATGCAATTTCCATTGTATTGACCACATCTGTTTTGGAGTCTAATAGTGCAACAACGACAAGTGAAGCAATCATTATGTGTTTCAATAGATTTTGCTTAATGTTCTTTGCATCTGCTGGACTTGGAGTAGTTTTTGCATTAATTAGTGCACTTTTCTTAAAGCATTTTGATCTTCGAAAAAATCCATCACTGGAATTTGGAATGATGTTAGTTTTTACATATGCACCTTATGTTTTAGCCGAAGGGATACACTTGTCAGGTAACTAAGTAATGACAATAATTAATTTATGATACTTTTTGCATACCAGTTTTTTATTGCAGGAATAATGGCCATTCTATTTAATGGAATTGTGATGTCTCACTATACTCATTTCAATCTTTCAACAGTAACACAAATAACAATGCAACAAACTATGAGAACTTTAGCATTTATAGCAGAAACTTGTGTTTTTGCTTACCTAGGATTGGCACTTTTTAGTTTTAAACATAAGGCAAGGAGTCATCATTTATATATGTATATGTTATATTGTACCATCCATTCAATTACAAATAACTTATTATTTTAGGTTGAACCAGCTCTAGTCATTTGGTCCATAATATTGTGCCTTATTGGAAGAGCAGCAAATATATTTCCTCTTGCTCTGTTAGTTAATAAATTTCGCGAACATCAAATTACCAGAAAAATGATGTTTATTATGTGGTTCAGTGGACTGCGGGGAGCAATTTCTTATGCTTTGTCACTTCATTTGAATTTTAGTGATGAAACTACTCGACACGTTATGATTACAACTACTTTAATTATAGTGCTTTTCACAACTTTAGTATTTGGAGGATCTACCATGCCACTATTAAAATTTTTACGTGCTGAAAAGAGACAAAAATGTAGTAGTAGACGTAGGAAAAGAGAAAAAGAAATTTCTCTAAGTAAAACAAGAGAATGGGTTAGTAAAATAAATAGCACGATTTTATTTATTTAAATTAAAAATTGCTTTTTCACTAAAAATTACAAGTTTCTGATCTACCATTAAATTTAGAAAACGTCTCAAGTTTGAAATGACGGCATTATTCATTATTTTATATTTATTTCTAGGGTCAGGCAATTGATTCTGAACATCTGTCCGAGTTGACCGAAGAAGAGATGGAAGTTTCATTCGCTCAGTCGCGAATACGCGGTTTTGCTCGGTGGGATCTGAAATTCTTCATTCCTTTTTTTACACGTCGATTTACACAACAAGAACTGAAGGATTGCAAATCACAAATGACAGATTTGACTAACCAGTGGTATCAAGCTATTCGTATTAGTCCAATAGAATCAGATGACGAGGACAATGACGACGATGTTACAACTGTGTCTTCTATGCAAACGCAAAATCGCGACTATTCACTTACCGAAAATAAAACTAAACCTTAGGCCACAATGCAAAGACCATCCTAGTCATGGTTCTGCACTAAGTTTATATAATAGTTACGACGTTTCATTTTTTTTTATTGATTTTATAAAACAGCTAATTCTACTTTTAAGAAAAGTGCCAAGAAAAGTAATTAGTATAATTCTATTTTTAATTTCACCTTAGATGTAATTAACTTTATTTTGAGTTACTCACTTGAGTTTGAAGATAAAGAATTATGTTTTTTTTAGAAAATGAATTGACTTTGTTATATTGATTGTGTATCAGTTGGCTATAACATTAAAATTAAATCAAATTAAGAGCAGGTTCATAATAATGTTTGCAAAAACAGACATCTTGAAAAGTATTTCATAATTTTATTAAATATATAAAGCTTTTAATAAAAAACGTACAATTTAAAAAATTGTTTAATTTAACTACCAACGATAAATTACATGATTGAAATGAGTGTGAAATTAAAAGAATTTTCGGTATATGAAAGAATAACTCACAGTTTCTGTATACATAACATATATCTGTAGTTATTGTGGTTTGCTGTATATTGCAATTTGCTATGAATTGATTTTTGTGAATGGCTATTGAAATGTACTGGATTCGTAAAATCTTTTATAAACTTATGCTTCCTTTTAAAGGTATTATTATTTTATTTGTTGGTAAAATAAAATATATTTACTATTAATTTCACATTGAATGTAATGATACAATTAATGAAGAATAAAATGTGACTAAGCCAAACAAGAAAATAAGAATGTATTATTACAACTTGTGAAAATGGTGCAGAATTAGATTTATTAATTTCATTCTATAATAATTTTATTTGTATAATACAGTCAATTCCTTGCATGCTGATTATTGTGATAGAAAATGATAATAAAATATAATATTTATCGCTAAAAATATTTTTACTGCTTTGTACAATTTTCTAAGCCTTCAAAAGCATGTATTTATACAAATTTGTACCTAATTATTCAAGAATAATGGTGTGAACTCTATTTGTAAAGGATTACGATTATATTGTATTATAGTTAAAACCTCTAAAAACCATCTTTCACTATTTTGACGAAATTATATCTGATTATATATATTTACAATAAAATGTTACGTTAAAAACGTTATCGTTATTTAACTAAAAATTGTATTTAATTTTGAATTATTTAAGAATATTTTGGGAATAAAAGTATATACAACATCTAATAATTGGTACTAATTGAATTCAAAATAGTTTTAAAAGAAGTTAAATACTTTGTTTACTATATAAACTCAACATACACGTGAATTATAATTATGTATGTACATACATACAACTATCTTGTATATAACTAACACAAGTGTTGAAATTCGAATATTCCCGCCATTTATCTTCTATTTACGTTTTTCGCGGTAATAACGAATGAAACGAATTCATCTATAGCTACCGCCTTGTGTTTCGCGTATCTCGTACGTTCAAAATTAGGAATTCAACACGCGTAATTTTATATTTGTGTATACAATATTTTTTAAGAAGTTTTATAAAACAAGAAAATTTCGATAAAATGTCTATAGCGCAAAAAATCTTTAAAAAGACACCAGTTTATGTTGTCGAATCCCATAATGAGGTAAGAATAAACCATCTGTTTCGTAGATACTGTAAAACTTCAATTGGTAGATTGTATATATAAATTAAGTGTGTACGAATTTAACTATATGCTGTAATTACAATTTATTTTTTCATAATTTAAGTAAAATGGTGTATTTGTATAAGATAACCTTAAAATTGCTTTAGAGTAGAAAAAATGTACGAAATTAATCTATATAAATTAGCTTGACCTAGAATCAAAGTTTAAAGTGTATTTTCAGTCATTTCTGCATTCATACCAATCAACTTGTAGGTTGCCAAATTTATTTTGATAAAACAAAAATTGTCAACTGTCTAGATATAACATTTCTTAGATTCCGATGTAATTAAACATCGTAGATATAGAGGTCGCAAATAATTAGCGCGAGTTCTGAATTTAAATGAATTTCTATGATGTCAAGTATAATCGATTGTTTCTAGTATAACATATATATTAAGTTTTCAATGTTCCTATATTTTTGATTATTTAAATAGAAATGAATGGACTAATCAAATGATACAAATTATTTGTGTTCAATGGTTCAATTGATTGCAAATTTCATGTCGTGTATAAATTATTTTGTCGAAGCCTTATTTTTAATCATTTGTTGCAAAAATCGGTATTAATTTGTTATTGATAAATTTTTATTTTGACTTGCTTAGGAAAGAAATAGTTGCACAAAAATGTATCATTACTTCTTCATTCTCGGATATATATTTAAATTGAAGTTTTTACAAACACAGATCTCGTTGCAAAAGGGATCGTTATATCCAAAGTTTTATTTTTTCCATTTTCATTAAGGCATATATGTTTATTGATATATGAATAAAGGGGAATCTTTGCTCTAACATTTAGCTTTGAATACACTTTATAATACCAAGAGAACGATATTAATTGTTAAAATGGTATAATAAAAGTAATATGAATCATTTGCAATTTATTTGGTCGATTAGTTTCTTTAAAAAAGATATTTTGAAAATGGATTTTTAACGGTATCATATGACTATCATTTTTTATTTATTTATTTTGGTTAATTTAGCGCTTTTATTTACGTAAACTAGTTATTTTCCAAGAATTTTTTCCGAAGAAATTACTGCAGTTGATGAGCTGAAATTTATTCACAGTACTTTTATCACACTTATTTACCAGTTTATATCGTTTTCTTGACATTCTGATGCATATCTGCGATTACCTTGGAGCAAGATTATCCATTATTTATAAATCTAAATATATGTATGAAGAAGCCTTAAGGCTGCCGCACCTTATATTGATATAGAAATGCCCGTTGAAAATAGGCGACCCTTTATTTCATGATTATTCTTCGATAAAGCGAAAATGGAATTCGACAGATTTATGACAGATATCTTTCAACGTGTAATTTACATTGTAACGCTACACGTATATTTGCATTAATTTTTATTATTAAAATAGTATTCGATATGAGAACTTTTCATTTTTATTGAGATCCAAATATTGAGAGTTCTAATATGTAATTAATGACTTAACGAGAACTGAAGTGAACCAATGTATTTTTATTAAAAACTTGAATGTATATAGTAAGAAATCTCAGCAGTAGAAAGAGAGTTATAGAATGTTATCCATGTTAATTTTGTTTGATCGAATTTTTTGGTTACCAGACTCAACAATGTTACCGATCTGATCGATGCACTGTTCAATATTCTAATTTTTTTATTGATTACCTGTTGAATTGTTCGAGTGTAATCTAACTTGCCGAAATATCATTGGTAAGTAGACTACAGAGGATAGCCGATCATTTCTTTACATTTTTATTTTATTTTTCAGTACTTCACCCAAATCAGTGTCTATTGCACTATGATTGTCATTTTATAATATATTGTACTTTTTATTGGAATTTTCATTGTTCAGCTATTTGTTCAGCTTATTTCCACTATGATAAAACCTTGCATACTTTTTACATGGATTTATATTTATTATATCCAATACTCTGCATTATGGATATACTCCGAAAAGTTTATTTTTATTTTCTTGTATATGTTTATGTATAATGGGTGTAGCTTCTGTTATTGCTGCTGCTGTTTTTGCTTTTTTATTTGAGTACATATGTGATACTTTACACTTATCTCAAACTTTTCTTCAATATAAAATCTCGATTTTCTTTATGAAATTATAAATAAAAACTAACACTATATCGTAAAGTTACATTATGTAAAATGCACAACGTTTTTAGGTCGTTAATTAATCAAATACATTACGAATTCTTGAAATAATTCACATTAAAACAATTCGCATCATCTCTAGAAAAAAGAATAGCACTCGAATGTGCCCACCCACAGATTTCAAAACTGATTGCATTTCTGCAGTCAAACGATCTTTGCGTTGCTTCAAATAATTCAGAGGTTTGTTGAAATCCTAGGTCAATCATATTGGGATGATTATATTGGACTGCCAAGAAGCTCAAAGAACTAAAAGTAAGAATGTTTACCCCAAATTGACTAAAAATCCTCCCATGCTTACTAAGAATCGCAATTTTCGGACAATACATTTTTCGGAGTAGGCTCCCTCAATTTCCGATATTTTTTAAAATTCACATAAAGCCCGAGGTATAAGAGTCAATAACAACTATATTAATAAATGTAATTTTTATCAATATTTTATACTTTCTCTTTTTTATTCTACCAAGTAAAACTTATTCTACCAATTTTCCTATTCCACGATATATTGATGTTGCAAATACCTGAGATAGAACTTCATCTAATCCACTAGAGAAAGTTAGATTCCACAGTTCCCGCCGTCAGTTTTTTCGCAACAGTAACATCGAGTTATTATTGGTTTTATTGCACGAGAGTGCAAATTAAAACCAACTTAATTAAATATAATCTTTTTAGTCGCTATTGTGCTGCAGTAGTTATGAATGATTTTATGCAGCCATTTCATATAATAATAAATATAATAGCTATTATAGATATAAGTAAAGTAAATGTAAGCGCGCTTTCTGTTTGTTACTGGTTCTATAACCTCATAGTGATTTTTTTAATTTTTCGTGATAAAATGACTACATAATAATTTAGAATTACTTTAGCGTAAGTTATTTATCAGAAGGTATCTGTCACAAATCTGCTGCGTGTTTACATTGAGGACGTGGAAGCTTAAAAAATCAAATAATTTCAACTAACGTAACAAAATTAACGCGTTGTATATTTAATCATATTAATATTTCTTCTAGGTTTTGCCTTTTATTTACCGTTGTATTGGATCAAAGCATCTTCCTTTCGAAGGAAATACCTTTATTCATTTAGATTCGCATCCGGATATGCTTGTTCCTAAGGACATGAACGCTGATACAGTTTGGAAAAAAGAAGAGTTATTTGAGTAAGTTATTGCTCATCAGTCCACTTACTTAATACTTAATTTATTATCGGAGTATTAATTTTTTTGTCGTACTCGAAAGGTTATTCAACTCAACTAAATTTAGAAAATCAACACTTTGTTTTTGCTTTATAACCTTTTTATTAAATTTATTAAAAATACCTTTTTTATCTAAGTTATATCATTAGTTGATAACGCGTTTTATGAGAATTTTCTAATCTTTAGTGAAATCAGTATTGAAAATTGGATGTTACCTGCTGCTTATGCTGGCCATTTTAGTAATTTGGTTTGGGTGAAGCCTCCGTGGGCTCATCAAATGACAGATGGAATCCGAACTTTTTTCATTGGCAAGCACAAGGAAAGCAGGACAATAAGGTGAGCAATGCCAGGCTTTGATAATCAATCTAAATGAATATATTAACAATAAACTGTTTTGTAGCCGTATATAATAAACCATAGAAAATAATTGTAAAATGAATAGATTGTTAATGATCATTAATTAATGCTCAATCTTAATTTTAAACTCAACATTTATAACGTATTCTTAATTATAAATACAGAAACATTAATTATATCAAAAACAGATCGCTATAGAGTACAAAAAGTCAGAGAAGACAAATTTGAATTAAAAAGAAATGTATTGAACTAAAATGATAATACAGGTATTCTTATTGAATTATACCGTAATTAATAAGTCATTTTAAAGAACAGACTCGGATGAGAAAAATGATCATTTGATTTCCTATAAAATAATATTCAATTAGCTACTCGACATAAAATTATCGTGGTTAAATAATAGTTAATTTTTACAGTTCTTTAAATAATTGGTAAGTCATTAAACAAATATATATTTAAAGATGTAGACTTAAAATGCCCCAACTATCTTACATTTCCGACAGAACTTGTATATATGTACATAAGCACATATAAGTTTTATACACAGTACACGTGGGTTGTGAGGAAACGGATGTTGAATGGGTTAGCAAACTGTAAAGCAAATAGATCGATAGAAGCCGGCTGTAAGATTGATGAGGACAAAGGCAGTCTTGAGTGCACTATGTGTGATGAGGAAACTGCGCTGGAAGAGCGCGAAATAGCAAGCTTCAAAGGATATTTATGAAAAAAAGGGAAAAGTCAGTTAGGAAATGAGATTTTTAATTTATTTTGTTGATAGACGTATCATCAGTTAGCAATTGCTAATTATAACGGTTGCAATAATCATACGCATGAAAAAACTTTCATTTCTTTGGCCGTCGTGTTCTACCTTTTATAGATATACCGAGTAACTTGTATTTGACGTCATCAATTGTTATAGGCGTGAAAGCTAATAGTAAAGAGATCATTTGAAGGTTTGATAAACGCTTAGAGTCGCTCGGCAATTAGAGGAGCACTTTAGCATTAGTTGCATTGAAATCGTAACGAGTCTCGAGAAACGTACAAAAAGAAGTTCTCACAAGCAAGTCGTTTTTTGAATAGCCGATGCAAGAGAAAAAAGAGAGAGAAAAAGCCAGCATTTATCGCGAAACTCGTGACTTTCGTCACCCGCACGATACGTGCACTCTTATCTCTTGCAAAGCCGTCTAACTGTTGGCGCGACATTGAAAAAAGCTTCTCGCCAGTTCCTTTCTTTCTTTCTTTCTTTTCTTTTTTTTTCGTCGTCTTTTCATCGCGACTCGCACGCGCAAAGCAAGACTTTCTATTTGATTTCTCATGCGTGAAATACGGCTCGTCGCGTAACAGCAAGAAATAAAAAATAAAAAAGGAATCCTATAACCCTTCTCACCCCACCTCGCAATCTTTCTCGGCAGCACAACTCACGCTTTTATGCTTATGTACAGTCGGGGCCAGCTGTTTAAACTGCAGCTTTTACATTTGCGAATTCGAGTGTCAAGAATTGCAGCGCTGTTAATAAGCGTAATGGCTACCATGAGACAATTCATTTTTCGTCGTCGCCAGTCAGCCAGCGCGTGGTCCTCGCGTAATCGGCGTAATTTTTCCTTTATCTCTTTGCTGTTCCTCGTAGATTCAAAGAATTTTTTAGGGATCGTTTCACCTGCATCACGCGCGTTTCTCCAGTGCACGCGCCCTCGTTGCTGGTTGCACACAGCGAAAGCGAGTTGCTAAGGACCTCTTCAAGGTTTTCGTAATGGTCAGCAATTAGTGCGACAAGAGCGGGTTGACGAGCGGCGGAAACCTTTCGGCTACCTTAAACACGCTATGCGAGACTGCCGCGTCTCTTTGATCTCCATCCTTGCAAAACGCTTCCGCTACTTTGTAAGCAATGTAAATCTATAGTTACAATAAACCTAGTAAATGGTTACATTTTCTTGGCAATCAAACGATTGTGTAGGAGCACAATTTTTAATTTTAGGAACTTTAGTAATTATCCGTGAATGTAATTATTGACACTGAAAGAACACGAAGCTGAACATATGTAACAAGGCAACCTCTGCCTTTCTAAAGTCACCGAAAAAAAATAAAGAGTAGATATTATGACAACCTCACAATGTAGTAATTCGTTCAAAAATTATAAATATAAGAAAGCACATAATATAATTGTATACAACGGAAAGACATAAGCGGAAATCAGTGTCTCTAGTTTCTACTTAGTTGTACAAGTATAATTTTTATTACAATTATTATATTCATGATTTACAAACTTTGCAAATAAATACATTTTGGTTGATATGACAACAAGAATATATCAGCGCAATCAGAACTTTATAATTTATAAGCTACTATCTTTGTATTTTATTATATTTTCATTAAATCGAATAAAATAAGAATGGTTTTTTAAGTATATTGATACCTTACTTAGGTATATTAAGTTTGATGTTGTTTGCAACTGACGAAAAGAATAATTCGTAACTCAAATGTTTATTAGGTATTTTCATATCCATCAATTCGTAAATTCATAATTTCGTATTCAATGCATAGTTCTGTACTTTTCTCTATTATTTCTTATGATTCTGTACGTTTGAAAAATAATATCTGTATACAGTTTAATATTAGTGACCATCGATTCAATTAAGAATACAACGTGTTCTCGTTTCTTGACTTGAACTTAACAACGGCAAAGTTGAAAACGAATATGAATTTGCGATCAATTCTATCGGTATCAAATTTACTCGAGATTTTATTCAAGCAAACGATTTATTAGATTTTGTAGTAACAAAATGCCTTACAAATGCATAAGTTATTTAGGTTGAGTTGAATCATTGAAATTGTCATCGGCGTAACCTGAACGCTGGAAATGATAACGACGTGCGGTAATGCGGTAAACGAGGAGAGGAAAGGCTCGGGGAAAAAAGCCAGGCGAATTTTTCTGAAAACAGTTAAAAAAAATAAAAAAATGAGCGGGCGATGCTTTTAGTATATGCACAGCCGACTCGGGAAGGGCGTGCCAATATATCGCGCGCATGATACTCGGTTTGTTAAAAAGAGAGGCTGTACCCCCCACGCCTTATGGCTCCTCCATCGTCACGCTCCGCCCGCACCTATCCGACATTAATGCATTTAATTATCTAATCCCGATCTTTATCGTACACCTGCATGCAAGATTACCTCGCGACCGATCGTCGAGGTTTACGTGCTATATGTCCGGCTTTGTATTATCCAATCCATCCGCGGCTATTTATATTGCGTCATCAAAATACCGTGATACATCGTTATTTTTTGATGGAATGCATTTTTTGAATATCGAACTTTCAAAATAGCGTCCTTTTGTTGAAAAACTGTCGCTCAAAAACTGCATTTCAATTGATTTTCCAGTGTTCTCGGGTAAAAACGACTTGGTATCGCATACGCACAAGCCGTTTTTTGCATAAGACAGCGCAAAAAGCATAGTTATGCCACACGAGCAATTCCAAAATCAGCTTGTCTAGGCTTGTTATTTCAATCAGCAGAACCAACAGATTGCGACCGGTGCTTACTTTGAAAGAGAGAGAGAGAGAGAGGGAGAGAGGGAGAGAGGGAGAGAGAGAGAGAGAGAGAGAGAGAGAGAGAGAGAGAGAGAGAGAGAGAGAGACGAACGCGGAAGAAAAAAAGGCACGGTCGAAGATAGAAAAAGCCGAGCCAGTCTCGGCTCTCACCTTCGTGTATGCTCTAGAATGTTTAAATGTCCGGCAGAGCAATCTGGAGTCTGCACCAAGCGAGAGCAGAGCAAAAACATTAAGTGCCGGCCGCAAGTATCAAAACAGAGCGGATAATCGGACGATGCAAGAGCCAGAGAGAGAGAGAGAGAGAGAACTCGCGCAAAAGTGCATAACTCTTTGGTAGAGCGAAGAGCGTAATAAGCCTAACTGCAGCTGCTCCGCGTGCGCGGAGCTTTGTTTTTTGCTCGCTTGCCGCCGCCGCCGCCGCTGCTTTCGGATTTCTTGTCTCTCGTCTTCTAGCCTGGCGTTCCTCCTGAACGCGCGACCGTTGGAGCGTCTCGAGCAGCAGGACGCAGCGCGACGGAAAGCGCGTGACTCGCGCGCAGAGTAATTGGATCTCCGCGACGAGAGTGTAGGCGCAGAGCAGCGGGCCGAGCGCCGGAGACGTCGCTCGCACGGGACAGACGGCTGCGAAGGAGGCGAGCGTACGAAAGCGCGCGTGCGCGGAGCAAAAACGAGCGCGAGGGCCCCTAATGGAATCGGCCACTCTGCTGGCCGAATGCGCAATAAAATTTAACAAGCTTCCTATTTATTATTTCTGGAATCCCCGAGCTTCGCGCTCCTTGCCGCTCGAGCTGCCAGAAGAAAATAATTCCGTCCGCTTTGTCCCGTTGCTGCAGCTTCTTCCACGCGCGTCATTGCCGTGCTCAGGCGTGAGCCGCGCCGCCGCCGTCCGGATTCCTCGCCGGTGAAATATCAGTTGGTTTTTCGCCGCGCCGACGGACCGATTGGCTCGCGATCTCGCGTCCGATACTTCACTCTCCGCGAAGCTTCGGCTTCTCGACTCGTGTGCCACGCTCGAAGCAATGCCTTCTGTGCATTTAGTCAAATGCGATAAACGATCGTTGCTCTCGACGATGTTTTCACGTCGGTAGAACAGCTTGGATAATACGAGCCGTTCTCTAGCGTCCGATGCCACGAGTACTTGGCCTTTCTGCTGCATTGGTCAAATGTTTAAATGGTGCGCGAGGGCAGAACAATGAAAGAGAAAGGGGCGCGCAGTTTTCGGCCGAGGCGTCGTTCGGAACGAGAGAGCTGCGGCCGTCCGTACAAGGAGCGATCGAAAGCCGGCAATATTGGCCATCAGCATGCGCATCTGGGCCATAAATAACGACAATCAGCACGCTTGTCAGCGCGTCGCGTACCGAGAAATCTGAAGTATTCTAGGAAGCGCGCCAAATCGAAATACAGCGTTCGCGCTCGCGTACGCGACTGGCAGCG